CTCCTGAAATAGCTACATGACATTAATTAACACTCTGTATATGGGTACATTGACATTGCCTACCACTTCCATATAATGCCATTACAATGTGCACATTTTAAATACTTTAATGGGGTGTCGTTTCAGGACAGAATGGTGATGAGTTTCAAAATCACACTGTGCACATTTTAAATATTAAAAAGTGTTGCGAGTTAAAATATGCCTACTTAATTTTTTTGTCGATAAACTCTTGGATTTTGAATTTCATTTTTAAGTAAATAAAAGAACCAGTATGTTGGACGTTATTTACTATGCCTATAGAGCTATAGAGGGATGTGCGCAGATAATTGGTGACTTATTTAGAGGGTACAGAAGGACTGGTCCCGTGGCGCATCTTCCCCTTCTTACTTGCCGCATACAGTAGTTTTGTGTATAATCACACTGTGCACATTTTAAATCGTTTGAAGACTTGTATCTCAAGAGATGTCATTTCAGAATATGTTGAAGGTTTGTTGCAAAATTACAATGTGCACATCTTTAAATCTTTTGAAGTATTGTGTATTTTTAAGCTGCAAGCGTTTATTGGTCATTATTATTACACACTAAGTACGTGATTTACAGTTAATCGAAATTGCGAATAACCTATACCTATCACTTTTTAATTTGATAGTTTAGCCAGTATTGGCTCTTTGATGGTGGACAAAATTCCCTGTAACAGGTATGGGGACCTCGATTGGGACACTTCTTCGTAAACGTAAAACATGCTTCCGCTTAAACGCGACTTGCAAAATTGACTTTTTTTCGAGTAACGTAACACACACTTGAGCATAACTCAACTAGACTTTTTTCTACAAAACTTGATAGCCGACATATGTGAGTATTGTTGAGTAAATGCTTCAATACCGGAAAATCTGACTGTGCAACCAGTAACCCCCATCAAGCAAAAAGCCCCTCCAGTAACGTCTCCCTCTTCTATTTAAAACAATGTCCCTTTCTCACTTTTGCTCCTCTTTCCTATACTGCGTCTGTTAAACAATTAACACCTGCTTACTTCGACGATAACGTGCTTGTCTTGAAACTAAGTAGCTTACGCAGCGATAAGGACATTTAGGAGATAACGTTTACAATAACAATAAACTTAATCTTTTATCATGTAAATTAAACCTTACAATAAAATTAAAAAGATAAACAAAGTCATTATTTAAACAAAATTAACAACTAATAATTCTGATACAAAACAAAACCTACTTCGAAATCAAATAATATGATCCACACTGCATTTAATCTCCAATAAACAATCACATTTAACGTTAACAATAATTGAAATTCACGTACAGGGTGGCCTATCAATACTGCAGGTGTCGAAGCCGCCTGACGTAGTTTAGGTACGTAACAATATGCGTCTGGGCTAGTTGTTCAGTTTATTATTTGTTTTTCGATTGAAATGGATGATTTTGGATTACGTAATTGCATGTGAAAAGAAATCTATTATCTACTATTAATTTTTGAATGGCGAAGACCTTATAGTTGGGTTCGGAATTGGTTTTAAAGGTAAATATAATCAAACGAAATATGGTAACTACCCTTTACAAGCGGGAGGCCAAGGTGGCGTTTATACCAAAGTAGTGAAAGAAGTAGGAAGTGCGAGCGTAGAGCTGAACACTGGATAGAGCACCAAGGTTCAGATCAGGGAAGCTTATATGGGTCACCTGGCAATTGGCAATGTCTACAGGTACATGTAGTTTCCTATACCTACATCTTCCAAAATAATGCCGTTCAAACACAACCAGGGAAAAAACTCTGATACGAATGCGACTCTGCCAAAAGAATATCTCCAGCAGAAGGGCCGGATTAACGCTCGCCGAAATAGGGTAGGTAACTCCAGGGCGGTCATCAGGTTCTTTCTACGACCTTACTTTAAGGGTGTTACAAAATTCCTATGAGATATAATAGAAAACTGACATTAGAGCTTCGATTCTAAATAGTCATTTAGCAAAACAACTTTCCGACCTACCAGCTAACAGCTACTGTTCAAGTCAATGGGACTATACTTCCATTAATCAAAAATGCCCGCAGTTTCACTAATGTAGGTATTTTTAAACTCGTATATAATCAGCAAATGATTTATCATTAGAATTCAAAAAATGTACCTACCTTTTAGAATCCGTTTATCGAACTACTTTTTGAATTGACCACGTTAGACAAAGACCATCGGCACGACCTTTACGGGCACGGCTACATTGTTATGCAATAGTGATACTAAGTAATATGCTAACATCTGATATTCAATTGTGGTTTGTTAAAAATGATATTTTATAAAAGCCTTCTGGGAGCGGTATGTACACATAGCAAACGGAAAACCGATGATCAGGAGCATTTGAGAAGAAAGCCCCATTTTCAGTCCCCGATAGGAAATGAAATTATTAAACGTGTTGAAAAGAATGCTGTTTACAATAATCAGATTGCTTACGCAAATGCTTCCTTGGAAAAATAAACAAATTTGGACAAGTACGTTAAGTGATTTATGAATTCGTGGTGCCTTCGCAACAGTTTTCACCTTACGTATACAGGCAAGGTTAATATTAAGCAGACACAAACGGTATTAATTTTGACTACGATTAATCATGATCGCATTGAAAAAGAAAATCGCCGTCGTAGTAATCGAGGCCCGGGACAAGGATAATGTCGAACAAAATAATAATGAATGAGTAGTTTTCCAATTGAATTTTTCCACCGAACCTTGCGACGACGTGCTGATAATGGTCTCAATGAAAAGCCGAAGGTCTCGTTAACAATGAGCTTAGGATGCTGTATCAGAATGAGAAAATTGGCCAAATTTGACAAGGGTGAAATGTTTTGCATTCCTGATACACCTGATACTTACGAAACTACTACAGCGAATGTACTTATCCCATTACGTATTGTCCTAGTTTTGCATGCATGGTCTGATGTATAAACCTTCAGGGGTCATCTCGAATGTCCCACTGAGCAAAAAGCTACTGTTTCCCATTTTCCATTCACTTGCATTCAATCCCTTTTTAGTTTTTAATTATTTATCTTTCTGGTGCAAGGTTCTTGCGGTTGTATATGCTACACTTTAAACACTCTTGTAAACCAGTTGCCTAATGTGACGGTACATCTGTACAGGGCGTAGCACCTAAGACCACTCGGATCATAATTCCTTTACCATACAAGATACCGAAAAAAGTCTTAGAGCAAAATTGTATATATTTATCGTCGCCATATTTCTAAAATATGTTTGTTCACCAAGAGCGTGCTGTATTCCAGTGGCGTATCGAACTTGCCTTTTTGCAATAGAACACCTCATATTTTATTACTGATTTGGAACGTACTTGAAAAATACTTATTTTTTTATGTACCATGTTACACCCCTAACTTGACCGATTTCGCTGTTATAACCTTTTTTCGTCAAAATTTGACATTTTTTGAGAGAAACTAAATCGCGCGGGCTGCTAAGTTTTGGACTGAGGCACAGGTTAAGACCTCTTCCACAGTCACATAATTTTTGTACTTAGGTACTTTTTCAAAAAAACTTAAATTTTTGATTGATCTTCGTCAAATGTCATATTTTGAAAAACTCTCAAATGGCACCCCTCTAAACAATTATACCACTGGGTAGTCAACACTACAAATTTTCCACTGATACAAAGAAAACCACTCATTCCATAAGAAAATTTCAGAGAAAAACCAAGTCGAAACGTCAATTTGTAAAAAAAAACCTTATTTTCCCAGCCCAAGTGTGCCATGATGAAACAAAAGATGTTCAACTCTCACAATTAAGGACGTTAAAAAACAATCATACACTGTCGACACTTTATACTGTTAATTATGAGAGATCTTTTGTTTCATCATGGCACACTTGGGCTAGGAAAATAAGGTTTTTTACAAATTGGCGTTTCGACTTGGTTTTTCTCTGAAATTTTCTTATGGAATGAGTGGTTTTCTTTGTATCAGTGCAAAATTTATAGTATTGGCTACCCAGAGGTATAATTTGTTTAGGGGGGTGCCATTTGAATTTTTTTTAAAATATGACATTTGTCTCAGATGGTGACATCAGGGGTGCTGTCAAATTGCTTTCTTCTTTGGACCAAATAGCTCCCATTAATGAAGCAATTCTGTTGGCGAAGCATCCTTCAGCAACCGAAAACAAAATAAAACCAACTCTTATCTTTGGATGACCAACTCCTTGCTCACCAAACCAATGTTAAGGAAATAACTTCAGCCATCAAGTCATTCGCACCAGGGACTAGACTCACTCCGTCCTCAACATCTACGTGATTTGACAGCGCCTTCAAATGACAACGCAGCTAGCCGACAAATAGGGGTAAATACCAAAGGAGGATGCGAAGCAGCAGTACATTCAGTTAGATCTTTCATCCATTTAAATTCAAAATCAAACAAAGTACTCTTAAAGATCGATGTCAGAAATGCCTTTAACTCAGTGGGTCCGGTTGAAATACTTTCAGTAGTAAAGAAAATCGTCTCTTCGTTACCTATATCCTTTTTTTGTTCAATGTTATGGAACTCCATCTAATCTTTCTTTTGGACAATACATTATCCATTCTGAGGTAGGTGCACGACAAGGAGATCCATGCGGCCCAATGATATTTAGTCTAGTAATTCAGGAAATAATCATCAGCTCCCTTGAATATGAGCTTAATGTTTGGTTTTTGGATGATGGAACACTATAGGAGGAGACTCAAACACTTTATTATCTGACTTTGAAAAAATAATACATGAATGCGATAAAATTGGTCTTATCGCTAACCGTGAATTACTTGGATGTCCTCTCGCCCGCAATAACGCAAACCTTTTTCCAAGAAACTTGATGACATTATGACACTCTGCACGAATTTAAATCGACTATCGTTACACGTCGGATACTCCTTACTTAAAAATTACTTCGCAAAGCCTAAGTTAACGTATCTACTTAGGACCAGTGACCGTACTAGCGTTTACAATGAGTAATGTATATTGCCAATGAACCTGTTCTTCTCCATATTCATCAATAAAAACTTTATCAGCGTTTCTAACTATGTTATACTGATCATAGACAAACTCATCTTCTAAGTACTTAGGTACATTAAGGTAATTAACTGCCTTCATAGTGCCTATAATGGTCATAGTTAAGCCAATCATACAGAGAAATAGTGGTCAAACGCACCCTCAAAATGGTCTCTCTGCTGTAAACCATTACCTTTCTCTCCTCAGTACAGTACCTACCTAACGTTAAAACCACCATTGCTTAAAGTGTTTTGAAAATATTCCTTAAAATTTACAGTATTTTGAAATTGATTCATTTTGCGTTTGTAGTCATGGACGTATGGTTTCCATTTTTCTACTGTCGAAAGTTGTTCGTAAATGTCGAACAAATAGTTATAGGAAAATAGGTTCGCAAAAAAGTCTCCCTTTGGCTTTAACATTCGATGAATGTTTGCAATCGCTTTTCTAAAATCTACAGAATTAGCTACGGTAACGTGGAAACAACACTTACCGAAGATCTGGTACATAATGCAGACAATAAAAGGAAAACGCGTGATCAAAACAATTATGGAAATGAGGGGGAATGCTGTCGGTGCAGATATCTAACTGTTGAAATGACACCCTGTCATCGTCCTGATGGAACTTCTTCGCAAAGTCAACCATTTGAGAAGACAAGTCGATGCCCACCAGCTTCTTTGCAGTTTTTGGTAGTAGTGGCAATAGTCCATACCTTGTTATGTCACCTGGGCCGCATCCGATGTCCAACACTTGGCAATCTTCTTTAAAGTTAAGGCAACTAAGGTACTTTCTTTTCATGTATAAAAACTCGCGTTGTGTCTGAAAATTAAACCTCATAAACCATGCTGGATACTTCATTCTTGGATTTATGATTAGATTACGAACTGGTTTGCCATACGCAGTATCGGGGTAAATGTTTACTTAGGTACTGATAGCGTATCAGTGCGAACTTTGACCTAGCAGCGAAATTATGATGGTCCTCATGCGTAAGTTAATAAAATCCGCCATCACCTTTGGTTCTTTCGCCTTACACATTACAAAATAGAGATACAGTAACCTATTGGCTAATCTTCTTCAAAGCGTGGACTTCCGAAATGTTAGCTATAAGACTCTAATTCTTTCGGTGTATTTTGTAGGTTTTTAAACTAAAGTCCTAGTGATTGTTGTTTACCGATTCAAGTTACTCTACTCGAAATGGCTAATAAAATAATCGAAAAGGCGAGGATGTGTGGAGAGCGGGGAAAGAAAATAGAAGAACGCCATCAGTCACTTGCCCAAATTAAACAATGACTTAGTCGTCGTCGATGCTGAGTATCATCAAAAGAGTCTCGCAAGTGTTTACCATCCAATCAGCGCAGAAGAGAGGTTTCCGCCCATCGCCCAACGTTGATGTTTTGATTTTGATCAACAAACCAGGATACTGGACTATTGGAAAAAGAAGTGCCTCACCTTGCCTCATGCAATCATTATAGCAGTAATGCCCAAATGTTTGTCTACTCTCCCTCCATCATGACTGCTATTTCTGTGTTTATCTACACGAAGTTTTGCTCTAAACTTCTTCTTCATTTCTATCTTCCAAGGGCTTTTCATCCTCTTAGGAATAGAAGCCACCAGGCTAGCGTCGTACGTACTGCAAGCTGAAAGTGCCAAAGCCACCCGCAAAACACTTTCAACATTTAAATTTAGAATTTTAGAATTTTTCCTTGCACACGTCCGGCATTCGCTATAAAGAAAAATCCTAATGTTGACACAATGGCGTCAATCAACTATCGACAATTTCAAAGAATTAATTAAACCAATTTTAACATCTGGCAATTCTTGGGCAACAATAAAAAATCTTGACATGAAAACTCTATCTGGGCCGCACTTTGGGTTCGACTAATTAATTGACAAAGACAAAAAGTTATTTTGCAACACATAAAAGCAAGTAATACAACAATGCTATAAGAAAGAAAGGCATTTAAAGCCTGTTTTTACACATGCCACGCACGCAAGTGTTCGACACACAATAAAATAAAGAACTCTTAATTACTTACAGTTTTTCGATAGTCTAATAAACCTGGTCGCAAACATTTTGGGATATTCAGCCGCACTTACACACTCTGACAGCTTCAGGAACTTCACTTCTTTTTTATTAAACTGGATCTTAATGACAAAAAACCAACTGAATTGTTGAATTAGATGTGAACATTTTGTGGCCCACCAGATAATTAGTAGTTCAACCTTATTGAAGGCGCTGAAACCAAAACAACGTCTGCAACAATACAAATATTTTCAAACACCTCCACCATATTTTGTGTTCCTGATATGTTTCCTTCTACAAATTGTTGTATCAGTATCACAGGAACGCAAAAAAGTAAAAACAGAAAATAGTTTGCCCAACGGATTTCTAACATATCAGCTTCTGATACAAGTTTTCCGCCATAAATTATTTTAACAGCATCACAGGAAGGCACAGTGTAGGTATATAAAAGCTAAAGTCAAACACTCTCTACGAAGATAACCCGGACAAGGATTCAATAGTTACTAATTTAAACCAACTGTCGCCTGGTATTAAGGTTATTAACGAAAACCTTGAATTACTTGGATGTCCTCTCGCCCGCAATAACGCAAACCTTTTCTCCAAGAAACTTGATGACATTATGACACTGCACGAATTTAAATCGACTATCGTTACACGTCGGATACTTCTTACTTAAAAATTGCTTCGCAATACCTAAGTTAACGTATCTACTTAGGACCAGTGACCTGTTTTCTTTAACAGATATTACAAATAGTTTTGATGCACAAATATAAAATGCAATGGAACATATTTTCAACTGCAATCTTTCACCCGAACAGTGGATAAAGGCTTCTCTCCCCGTATCCCAAGGAGGCATTTGGAATTCGAAGATGTTCCGATATCATCCTTCCAGTCTTTCTTAGTTCAGTAAATGCAAATAAGGCTCTCATCAACCTGCTTCTTAATAACCGCGATGAAGCTGAAATTGCCCTTTACAACGAAGCTCTGGATTGTTGGAATATATCTGAGAGTAGCACACCTACCATTCCTTATAAACAGAAGAATTGGGATATAATTTCTACTAAACGAATTTCCAATGAGTTATCTTTTATAAGTGACACTGATAAGGCCCGTCATTTAGCCTCCAAATCAAGAGAGTCAAGTCTTTGGCTAAACACTTTACCATCTAGATGCCTAGGAACACTATTAGATAATAACTCTTTCAGAATCTCAATTGCCCTGAGGATAGGATGTGACATTTGCCGTGAACGCCAATGCATCTGCGGTGCACCAGTATCTAGGAATGGGATTCATGGACTTAGTTGTAAGAAAAGCAACGGAAGACACGCAAGACATAATGAATTAAATAATATTATATGCCAAAGTCTGTAATCCGCCAACATTCCTTCTATTTTAGAACCCCCAGGTCTCTGTAGAAGTGATGGTAGACGAGTAGATGGTTTAACTCTTATTCCATGGAGTAAAGGAAAAATCCTGATCTGGGATGCTACAGTACCAGACACTCTTGCACCATCATATATTCACTCCTCTTCCAAAGAAGCTGGTACAATTGCAAAACAAGCTGCTAAAAGAAAACTAAACAAATATACGGACCTTTGCCGTCGAAACTCTTGGACCATGGTGTGATGAAGCAATATCATTCATTGAAGCTATCTTAAAACCTACGACAGTCGTTCAACACTATTCTTAAAACAGAAAATTAGTATTGCAATTCAAAGAGAGAATGCAAGTTGCATTATGGGAACTTTCAACAATTCTTTCAAGCTAGAAGAGATTTTTTATTTACTTTGAATATTGTTATTAAAATTATTTGTGAATGCGTTTTAAATTAGAAAAAAAATATCAAAAATTTAATTTTTTTATGGCCAGCTAATGAGGATATGGAATAAAATTTTCTGTGGCTAGCACAGATAACATCCGCACACTTTCGCATGCGCGATTCTGCCCTTTTATGTCTAAGAATATGTGTACCAAATCTGGTTTCTATTGGCTCAGCCGTTTAGCCGGTAATGAGAGTACGGACGAACCGACAAACCGACATCATCGGAATTTTATTTGCGTCGCATTCCTGGGTACTTCAAAACGTGTATTTCCGGCAAAAAAGTGGGCGGTCATTTTTTACCTGAATTCCCGAATGCAATACGCTGTTACTAACGCGCGGGTTGTAAAAAGAGAGTGAACGCTTCGGTTTCGTTGAGGCCATTCCACTAGGCGAGTACGTAAGTAAAAATTTGGTGGGGAATGAGATTCTTAGCCAAACCTTTGGTCTGAATCAAACGTTCGAGGCCAACCTACGTAACGTAAGCGCGGAAATGTATAGACCGCGTAACACGAAATTCTTTGCCAAGGTTTCAAGGCGAATCTTGTGAGTTGTGTACGCGATTTTTGAGATCACGTGAAATTTCATTGTTAGGTAATCAAAATTTCGAACCGCATAGTTATATAAAAGAATCATTAGCCGCGCAATCGAAAATTGTGCCATCATCTTTGTCGAATTTTTTGCCTTTTTGAACAAAACCTATAATAAGAGACGTTTTTTATGCAACAAGGGAACTTCGTCGTGTAGCGAAAACTAATGGCCGGCGGATTGATTTTCAACCGTGAACGGTGTGACCTCTTAAAGCGTATGCGAACAATTCGTTTCGTAGTATACTTGAATTAGCATGCCGTCATTTAAATAAATTGTTAGACGAAAGCGTTTAGGTCTAAGGTGCAAAACGTTTCATTGCGCTATATTTTGGGTGGCTAGTTATAGTCCAGTCAAATTAGCTTTAAAAGTAGTATAAACTGGATGTTGTAATTTCACTCAACGAAACCAAGCGTAACCTATTTAAAAAAATCCGCTGAATCCGAAAATCATAGTTCCCCTGACCGGAAACGCATTTGACTTCGAATATCTCGTTAACTATTGCTCTGAGGGAAAGAATGAATAGCGAACTTGTTTAGAATAAAATTTTCTTTAAGATACAGTTGGTCCGGAACGCTTATTTTCAATTGTTATTGTATTTTATGGTGGTGGGGTGCGGCAAGAATTAATCTCTATTTATTTATTTATTTATTTATTATCCCTCTCTTGTTCTGGGCCCTCAACAGGCATGTGCCCAATTACAGAGTGACCCGCATAATGATAATCTAAAATTCACAGTTTGTTATTACCAACTAAAATTCATCCCATCTTTTTGAAAATCCGCATTTAGTAACTTCTTTTGATAACAAAACAATATGACAAATCCGATCACCGTAATTGATTAATTAAATAAACAAGTAAAAAAAGGGATGCTTTGTCTTTTAAACTCGGGGACTACAAGAGCGTTCCCAATTTTTTTGTACATAGTTTAACCCTAAAACAATTTTCCCAATAATTGCTCTGCGGTCAGCTGAAGTATTAAGCCGGATTTATAGTTCCGTAGCCGTAAGAACGTAAGAACGGAACCGTAAAATCTTACGTTAACGAAAATTATACGATTTATAGTTACCGTAGTGGTAAGAGATGATCTTGCGCCACGAACTTATGTCATCTGTCAGTAAGAGTAACGCGCATTTCAAAATAATAATAACCAACAAAGTGTCAATAATTATTGTAAATAAACGAAACGAACGTCAGGATAAACTCAACTGTTTGAATTATCCGAGTACTGCCGACGACAAACGCGTTAGCACGATTTACCGTAAGAAATAAGATTTGGGCATTTTCTACGTACCGTAACCGTTCTAACGCAACGTTAACGCGAACTATAAATGTTCACACGCAATAAGTAGGGTTTAATTCTAAACGTTACGGTACGGCGTTGCGAGTACGGAACTATAAATTCAGCTTTAGAACTACGAGACTCCTGGAATAGATCAGACTCGATTCGAAGTCTTAGGGTACATCGTTGACCTCCACCTGGCCCAGACCTCTGTAAACCTAAGGAGCACACAGCTGGCTGTCTGATTTACAGTTGACTTTACTGTGCTGCAAATTGCTCTTAAAGAAGGTTCCTCCCTCCCCTAATGATTCCGACGGTTTCGATCCTTGGTTGGGGACAATAACCACCACACGAGTCAAATTTCTCGATCGGTGAGGGAATCGGTAGTAATCCCGACGTCCCTTGGAGGTCGATAACGAGGAATTGAACTTCATCTGTCCCAACTGAACTGGGTCCCGTTGCTCCAATGGAGTTCCCTCCATATAGGCTAGTCCTAAAACCAGGATTTTGCCTTTGATGGCCGTGTCATCCGGGATCTCGTATAACACAACCATCAGCTTAATTACCCTAGGGACGTGAAAATCTACCAATGGAAACCTTCTGAGAAGACGAAAAGAGGGCTACGCAGATCCCAGAAGATGATGAGGGACATGGAATTTGGGATTGGGAAAGCAACAACTACTTGTATAGGTATTGGGCCTTCACTGATGTAATGAAGTCGATATGTTGGTACATATAAATAATCAGTAGGCTAACCATTGTTTCGTTGTACGTACGATCTTTCAAAATTGTCAGTTCAACATTTTCAAAATTAATAGTAAAACTACGCGTTAATTAAAGTTATGGTACTGTGTTCAACAACAAAGAGAAGGTAAATAAGGTACAAGTTTGGTGCGTGAAGGTAACTAATCTTTATTTAAGAAAAATCGCTCCAGGCTTCCCAGAATAATGGAAGATAAGGTTTTTGTACAGGATAATCGTCTATCTTTAAGGTTTGTTCCTATTGCAAATGCGCCAGACTTCATCTTATCGTTTCAGTAGTAACTCATATCTCAACCTTAAGAAGGAAAAAAGCAGCGTTTCTAGCTTTCTTAAAGGATTTGTTTGTTTTATGAAAGTAATCAGAGCATGTTGTTGTAAACCTTTTACTAAAGTTTATTCTTTTCAGCCCCCGTCCATACAAGAAGAGATCACCGATAGGACTTCCAGCTCAAGCTCCAGTGACGTTTTCGAACAGGAATACCAACTAAGCGAGGTATGGGGAAAGTATTAAATATTTAGATTCCTTTGCATATTTTCTGTATAGTATCGGTCTCATGTGCAAGACTTAACGGCTAGCGTTTGCAATGACAATTGTAAAGAAAAAAAGTGAGTCAGAATCGGAATCAGAATACGATGTTGCACTTAACAGACAAAGACAAGCTTCGCTATCGTCCGTTCATGAAAGTTTGTCAAAACGTACAGCTCCATCGCACAAACAAGATAAAAATTTGCCCAGTAGATTATCTTCCAAGAGAACGCAATACCGCCAAGATGAATTTCGCGATTGGCAACAGATGTACAAGTTACGGAACAATTCTCGAATTCCAAAGCTCATCGCGAAAACCAATTCAAAACTCACACCTCACACCCGAAACGAGTTTATGAGGAAATCGTCATCCATTGTTATTATTCGTTCGAAAAGTCAAATTCAAAAGAAACTGGACACGCATCAACGCCATAAGGCGAAAGTCAAAGAAAAACAACACAGGCATTCGAACGAAGACACCATGCCTCCGAGGTTTTCTTACTCTACGCTGTTTAAAGCTGCACAGTCGCTTCAACAGAATCACACCTCTCTTAGATCACTATCGAGCTCCTCAAGTTCCGTAACCTCTCTAGAAACACGCACATTCCAAGAGCGAATGGAAAAGCAAGATTGGAAGTTGCCGGATGATTTGTCGTTGCTAATAAAAGTCTTGAAGGCGTCACAGGTGCAGATGAATGGAAGGCGCAGGAAGCCCGCTGAAGCTATCCTAAGCCGAAGTTCCCAATTACGTCTGATATTCTTCTTGGGAAACCCCGAAAATCAAGATAAAGTAGGCACACTGCCTCCAGAAACAACCACAACCACACTTCACGATGAAGAGCTCGCGTTAATAAAAAATTATCATGATCAAAAGTTAGCTCGTCTGCAAACGTTTTCCACGTCCGAATCGATTGTATCCGAAATCAATACTTCCCAATTTTTGAAAGGCAAAAGCGATAAGGAACCGCGCGATGCGGATCCAGATGAGCGCAATAAAATTGAAAAGAAGGAAGAAGCTAGCAATTACTCGTTATGGGGTCAAAGTGGGGCGCCCGTATTAGCGGACAAGTTTCAAGAATTGCTAACGTTCCTGTGGAGAATGTATCTAACTAAATTTTTAAAGTCTGCCGATACGAGCTATGCCAAAAAAGAGGAACCCTTAACTTTTCCTTTCGCGCAAGCCCCCACAACTGTATACCAGGCGCGCGTGGACCGCTGCCCACCCACGGATCCGGAACGCGTAGATCGAGGCACGGACTGCCAATGTTGCTGCAAAACACTCGACGGCCGTCAGGCTGATCAGATGCGCAGGGAGAAAAAGGGCGGATGCCTATCGTGCTTCAAGTCCCCAGGATCCGGCGGTGGTGGTGGTGGTGGTTATGGTAAAGGAGGGGGAGGAGGTGGTGGTGCAGGAGGAGCTAGGTACGTAAAACCGGGTCAGGATAGAGATAAAATACCATAAACTTCTAGCAGAGGTAAACCATCAAAGAAGAAGAGGGCCACTATACCCATTATGTCTTTCGATCTACCTGAGAGTGAAACTCAAACTGTTGTCGAAACTACAAAACAGCAGAAGGAGTTTCAAATGAAACCTCCAAAGACGGAGTACATCTCGGAGGAGGAATTGAAGCCAAAGGAAGCTCCAAAGAAACCGTGCCACTTCATAATGGATTCTGTTTTGCGACCGCTAAATGATGAGGACTGCCTATTATTTCAAAGGATGGCTAGTTCTGGAAGTCCTGTTCCAATCTTACGGGACATACCGTTGAGTCAAAAGTTTAACGAAGAGGTAGCGTAGGACTAATTTCTATTATTTTGCGGGCGGTTTTTGATAATAGCGTTTTTATGTCACGTTTCTTTTTAGGCATCTGGCTCTCAAAGAGGAAAATTTCCGAAGAAAGGAGCCATGCAGCCAGCTACGAAAGAAAGTGCTTCGAGAGCATTCACGCAGGAGAAGCTGAATGAGATAGAGAAGAGGAGCGGTATATTTTATGAGATTCTAGCATACGTTTACGATAAGTTTATGTATACAAGGGGTGCTTTGCAAAGTTCGGACCCGGATGACTCTAAAAGCAAGGCGAGTAAGTTTAGATTTAGTATGGCCAATGGAACAAGGCCCAATGAAATGCAATGTAACGTAAATTTAATACGTGTCTTATTTGTGTATAGTAATTATTAATGTTATTAACACTACGTACAAAACGGTTCATAGACAATGATGTTAAAAATGAACACTAAACACAATTCAATTTGCTTAAATAGCAAACAAAAAGCTTCTGGCATATTCTCGAAAGTCGTCATATCATATCTAATAGAAAAAATGAGTCACATCCGTTTTTATTACTTTTACCACTTTATTGTGCCTCGATAACGTTCTAGAAGGTTCGTAACAATATTGTAATTATTAAATTGTGTTAATCATTAATTTAAAAAATGCGGATTAATTGTATCCTCTCAAATATTTCAATTTTGAACTGTTGTTGTACCCAAAGTGTAGAAAATAAGCAAATTGTGATATGTTTCATTTCGTTGTGCAGTATTAGCTATACTAACTTTATATGGAGCTTAGTCTTGAAGATCCTAAATATAACGTGTGTATTACAGGCTCACACTTGAGGTCAGATGAAGAGCCGCCAGAAAAACCACAAGGAAAATCGCATAAAATTAACTTCACAGCGACGTCAATGCAAATTGAGCTACAACCAACATTCGCGCATATGGGAGACGTTGAGAGTCAAAAATACTTAGACAAAATGGGTACCTCTCCAAATACTTCAAACAGGCCCAAATCGGCACCTGCGTTTCATACAGTGGGAAGTGAAGCAAAAGAGAAATGCAATTGTATTGGGGAAGAGAGAATAAAGGCGTTATTAAGAGACGCTCTCCGAGAAATGAAAGCTCTTCCACGTGAACCATCACATTCTTCGATACGCGATGCTAATGACCCGAACGTATTCAAATCAACTTTACTAACGTTCACTGAGCAGTCGAACTTATACAATACCAAACGGATGGAACTACGACCTGCTCAAACCAGAAGTGAGATGGGTATATCTTCCACACCACATTCGCCAATGTACAGTGAGCAGTATTATAAATCAACTCAACCATTCACCGATCATCAGTTCGAGTATGAAATCCAATCGACGGATCCACGATCCGTTTATACCAAAAATGAAGTAAATGTATCTTCAAATCCAGGAAAGCGTAATGAGCAGTTTATCAAAAAAACTGCACCAATATTCAATGAGCTATTTAGCATAAATCAAACTCCATCGACTGATTCACGAACTGTTCATACCGAAGGCGAAGTGAATGTGTCTTACAAACCAAATTCACCAAATGAGCAGGCGATGGATCCGCGATCTGGTGATAGAAATGGTGTGAATGTGTCCCCCAGATCGACCTCACCAATCCGCAATGAGTATTTCAAATCGACTGTTCCAATGGCCAATCAGCCCTACTCAAACCAAGCGCAGACGACGGATACACGATCTGGTTATACCCAAAATGAGGAGAATGTGTTCTTGAAACTAATCTCGCCAATGCCCAATGAGCAGTACCTAAATTCTACTCTACCAATGCCTAACCAGCCTCAAACCCAACTGATAGATTCACGATCTGGTTACACGGGAAATGAGGGCAATGTATCCACGAGGCCATCACCAATGCGCTATGAGCAGTATTTGAGTTCGATTTTGCCAGGGCCCGATCACCAGTCTAATCGAAATCAAGCCCAATTGATCGATCCGCGATCTGACTATACAGGAAATGAGGGGAATGTATCTTCGAGACCGTCACCAATGCGCAATGAGCAAGATCTGAATTCTCTTCAGCCAGGGTCCAATCAGCAGTCTTACCGCAATCAAACCCAACCAATGGATCCACGATCTGGTTACACAGTAAATGAGGGGAATGTATCCTCGAGACCGTCTCCAATGCGCAATGAGCAGTACTTGAGTTTGACTTTGCCAGGGTTCAATCCGCAATCTTCCCAAAATCAAACCCAACCGATGGATGTACGATCTGGTTATGCAGGAAATGTGGGCAATTTATCCTCGAGTCCAACGTCACCATTGCGCCATGAGCAATACTTAAGTTTGACTTTGCCAGGGTTCAATCCGCAGACTTCCCAAAATCAAACCCAACCCATGGATTCACGATTTGGTTATACAGGAAATGCGGGCCATGTATCCTCGAGTCCAACGTCACCATTGAGCAATGAGCCAGGATTCAATCCGCAGTCTAACCGAAATCAAACACAACTGACGGATTCACGATCTGGTTATACCGGAAATGTAGGCAATGTATCCTCAAATCCAACGACACCATTGCGCCATGAGCAGTACTTGAATTTGACTTTACCAGGGTTTAGTCCGCAGACTTCCCGAAATCAAACCCAATCCATGGATTCACGATTTGGTTATACAGGGAATGTGGGCAATGTATCCTCGAATCCAACGTCACCATTGAGCAATGAGCCAGGGTTCAATCCGCAGTCTAACCAAAATCAAACCCAACCGATGGATTCACGATCTGGTTATACAGGGAATGTGGGCAATTTATCCTCGAGTCCAACGTCACCATTGCGCCATGAGCAATACTTAAGTTTGACTTTGCCAGGGTTCAATCCGCAGACTTCCCGAAATCAAACCCAACCTATGGATTCACGATCTGGTTATACGGGGAATGTCGGCAATGTATCCTCGAATCCAACGTCACCATTGAGCAATGAGCCAGGGTTCAATCCGCAGTCTAACCAAAATCAAACCCAACTGACGGATTCACGATCTGGTTATACCGGAAATGTATCCTCCAATCCAACGACACCATTGCGCCATGAGCAGTACTTGAATTTGACTTTGCCAGGATTCAATCCGCAGACTTCCCGAAATCAAAACCAACCAATGGATTCACGATATGGTTATACAGGGAATGTAGGCAATTTATCCTCGAATCCAACGTCACCATTGAGCAATGTGCCAGGATCCAATCAGCAGTCTAACCGAAATCAAGCCCAACCGATGGATCCACGATCTGGTCATACCGGAAATGTCGGCAATGTATCTTCGAGTCCAACGTCACCATTGAGCAATGATCAATACCTGAGTTCAACTTTGCCAGGGTTCAATCCGCAGTCTATCCGAAATCAAACCCAACCGATGATGGATCCACGATCTGGTTATACCGGAAATGTGGGCAATGTATCTTCGAGTCCTACGTCACCACTCCGCAATGAGCCATATTTAAGCTCGACTTTGCCAGCGTCCAATCAGCAATCTAACCGAAACCAAACCCAACATATGGATCCACGATCTGGTTATACCGGAAATGTGGGCAATGTATCCTCGAGTCCTACGTCACCATTCCGCAATGAGCCGTATTTAAGCTCGACTTTGCCAGGGTCCAATCAGCAGTCGAATCGAAATCAAACCCAACTGATGGATCCACGATCTGGTCATACCGGAAATGTGGACAATGTATCCTCGAGTCCTACGTCACCATTTCGCAATGAGCCGTATTTAAGCTCGACTTTGCCAGCGTCCAATCAGCAATCTAACCGAAACCAAACCCAACATATGGATCCACGATCTGGTTATACCGGAAATGTGGGCAATGTATCCTCGAGTCCTACGTCACCATTCCGCAATGAGCCGTATTTAAGCTCGACTTTGCCAGGGTCCAATCAGCAGTCGAATCGAAATCAAACCCAACTGATGGATCCACGATCTGGTCATACCGGAAATGTGGACAATGTATCCTCGAGTCCTACGTCACCATTTCGCAATGAGCCGTATTTAAGCTCGACTTTGCCAGCGTCCAATCAGCAATCTAACCGAAACCAAACCCAACATATGGATCCACGATCTGGTTATACCGGAAATGTGAGCAATTTATCCTCAAGTCCAACGTCACCATTGCGGAATGAGCCGTATATAAGTTCGATTTTGCCAGGGTCCAATCAGCAATCTAACCGAAATCAAAACCAACTGATTGATCCACGATCTGGTTATACCGGAAATGAACTGAATACATCTTCAAGATCAACTTCACCAATGCGCAATGAGCAGTACTTGAATTCTAATCTGCCAGGGTCCAATCAGCAGTCTAACCGCAATCAAGCCCAACCAATTGATTCAAGATCTGGTTATACAGGAAATGACGGGAACGTATCCTCAAGACTAACTTCTCCAATGCGCAACGAGCAAAATTTGAGTTCAACTTTACCAGGGCACAATCAGGAGTTTAACCGAAATCGATCTGGTTATACCGGACAAGAGGTGCACGTATCCTCCAAATCAGCTTCACCAATGCGCAACGAACAGCTCAAATCAACTGTGCCAATGTCTAATGATCGGTCGAACTTACATCAAACCCAAGCAGTGGATCCACGTTATGGTGATACCAGAAATGGAGTGAGTTCCTCCAAACGAACGTCAAGAATTAGTGATGGGGAGTATTTCAAATCAACTTTACGATCGTCCAATGATGAGTCAAACAACCGTTCAATGAATCCACGTTCTGGGTATAACAGAAATGAGATGAACCAATCTTCCAAACCAACTTCACCCACGCGCAATGAACAGTACCCCAAATCAGCGGGTCGAATGTCCAACGATCAGTCAAACTTATATCAAAGCCAATCGACGCACCCTAGATCTGGTCGTAGCAAAAGTAAAGTTAATGTCGCCTCCAAACCAACTTCAGCAATGCGCAACGAGCAGTACGCCAAAGGCTCTTCAGCAGATCAGTCGAACTTATATCAATCCCATCCGAGAGATTCACGAACTGGATACAAAAACGACGTCAAAGTATCTTCTAAACCAATTTCATCAGTGCGCAGTGACCAGTATTTCAAATCAACTGTACCAATGTCCAATGAGCAGTCTTATTTAAATCAAACCCAAGGGATGCCTAAACGATCTGGTAGTGGAAAAAGTAAGGTTAATGTGCCCTCCAAGTCAACTTCACAAATGCGCAATGAGCAGTATTCCAAATCCAATGAGCAGCCCTACTTAACTTCTGTGGGGCCACAATCTGGTCGCAAAAATGACGTGGGTGGATACACCAAAGTAACTTCACCAAAACGCAATGAGCAGCATTCTAAATCACCAGTCTCCAATGACCAATCCTACTCCAGTCAAACGAAACCGATGAGGCAACGATCTGGTCATACCAAAAATGAGATGAAAGCGCTTTCTAGACCAACTTCGCCAATGCATAACGAACAGTATTTCAAATCAACGGTTCCAGGTTCCAATGAGCAATCGGACTTATATCAACCGATGCCAATGGATTCACGCTCTGGTCGTGATGTGAATGTATCGTTTAAACCCACTTCACAGATGCGCAGTGATCAGTATTTGAAATCGACTGCACCAATGTCTAATGAGTCTTATCAAACTCCTTCGATGGATCGACGACCTGGTCATCTTCCCTCAAAACCAACGTCACCAACGCGCAATGAGCAATATTTAAAATCACCTGTACCTATGGCCAATGAGCAGTCGATGGATTCACAATGCGCTCCTTCACAGAATTGCTCGTGTGCTCGAAAACATAGACCCGGTAGTCTTCGACCCACATCGTACTCCCCAATATTTGAGAGTAACAAAAAATGCAGCTGCGCACAAGGGAGCCCTCACGATGAAATTGACAGTGCACCCCTTTCCCTCAAAGAAATCCAAAATAGACTGCCTAAACTGGAATTATCACAATTTTCTCTCATCTTCAACCTGTTGACGTTACCAAACGTTCCCATCGTTGCATCATTCACCACTGAGTACAATACCGATTTCTTGCCGACCGATATAGATTCCGACGATATCCTGAGCGACTTGTCCGACGACCTAACGGGAATCTCATCGTACGGAGCCTTGAGCATTTTCAACTACGTGGAAACGCAGAGTGACGATAATCCTTGGAAAATGCGCAAAAAGAATTTGGCGAGGGGCGCCATAACGAAAAGAAGACCGCCGAAGAAGACCTCTAAATCGCTAAAATTCAGCGAGCCGAGCTACGGCGACAATTTGAATCAGGTGATCTTCGTTCAGCAGCGCTTTTCGCAGCACTCCGCCAGCTCGTACGGGACGATGTTGGAATACTCGAGACGCGAGGGCTCCTATCAGGCGACGAGTTCGAGTTATAAGGCTCACATCGATTCCGTTATTCACACGCAGAACTGGGTAAAATTTAGAGATCATTTCCAGAAGCCACAAAGACGTCACGGTGAAGATCGAGGGATATATGCTGGTGTATCCAAAGCGACTACCTTGTATTTATCTACCCGTGAAGAAATAGAAGATAATGGCCGAGTTGATGATGGTTCATCTAACGCTAGTGTTCATTCTTCGGATGTGCAGCAGACTTTTGAGATTAATGATGATTGCAATTGAAAAGAATGAAACACTTAATTAATGTCGTCTGTAGGTTAGTGTTTTGCAATGTAACTTTTCTAAAACCAAACTATTCTTCACATATTCTTTGATTTATTTTTTGTGTTCACCTTCTGCTACTTTCTCCCTTTATTTTTCACACGATTTGCCTCCAGCCATCCCAATAGGAAACTATCGCCGCAATATTTAGTGTAAGGGAAGCCATCATTTATTCCATTTCGTCTAGGCACAACTCCAGCGATACCCTTATCCGATGTTTTCCCTACCCGATACCATTGGTCTTTGTAGACTCCTCCACCTTTGTTGCAAATTTCTCACCCCTGGGACAACAGGGTCCCTCACTTTACTCAGCCTCGCTCTATGGAGGCCGTTGGCATTTGGTACAGGGTTGACTTCGTATTCGGGACGTTATTCGGTCGACTACATTGCAAGAAGAATGTAAGTTCGATGGGTTGCCTATTTTATCAGTAGAAGATTTTATTTTATTATTTTCCTTATTCAGATACGGCTGCTTTATCAACCTAGCAATACCTGGAAACAGGGACCCGGACCCAAATGAAATATCGGTTCCGGTTCTGTTTATATTTAAGCGAAAATATTTATAACGGTTCCGGTCCGGTTTCGGTTCTAAAAAGAAATACCGGTTCGGTTCTGCGCGTTTTTTTCGGTCCATAACGGTTATTTTCGGTTCTAGCTTTTCAGAAAGTAGGGCATTCCAAAAATTCATTATAACAACGTGATTTGTTAATTATAGGCGTGAAAAAGAAATCATCAATACCAAAACGTGACGTATCGTCAGTGTATCTAATGTATAACGACAAGGGGAATAAAGAAGGAAGAGGGAAATATGTATTTAAACTTAATTTATTACTAAAAACAGAAAAAATATTCAAAAAGTAAAAAAATACGTATTGTTTTTTTATTTTCTAAACCCCCTCCTTTTATTATTTACATTTACAGTAGGAGCTAAATTAGCGCCACGGCCCGCCCCCGTAATGCCTTGAATTTCGACACATTAAAAATTTATAATCCACCGATGGCAATCATAGAATAATATTTTATCAATTGGTTCAACGTGGTTGCCGGCGCGTCCAACTTGCAATAACCGGTTAAGAACCGTAAAAAACTGAATAAAGTAACATGTGTTCCGGTTCTCAATACGTTTCCATTTCTGAAGGAATAACGGTTTCGGTTCGGTTTTCGGTCCAGAAAAAAATACCGGTTTCGGTCCGGTTTTCGGTTCTTTTTCGGTCCGGCCCGGGTCCCTGCCTGGAAAAAATTAGATGGAAAGTGGAGGCTTTTCGCTAGTTTCTAAGCGATTTCCAGAGCTCTATTAGTGCCTTTTCAGAGTATTTGATGGCTTGCCTAGAACTTTTAAGGCTTTTATGCCTTTCCAAAGCTTTTCAGGGCCACGTATGGATTTCCTGCATTTTTAAAAGAGCTTTCCATGATTTTTTCAGAATCATCTAGGCACTTTTGTGAGCTTCTTAGGCCGTTTCCGTGCCTCACGGCTTTTTTAGGGTCTTGTATGTCCCTTTGGAGGTGTCTTTTATGGAGCGTTAGATGTTTATATGATTCTAGGAAGGACACAAATTGTTCTAAGAAACATTTATGGTGTTCTAAAATTTATTTGAAAGGCTCTGGATTACAGCAATCTAAAGTTACTTAGAAGCCTTTCGAAAGTCTCTTAAATGTGTTTCAAATACCATTTTAGGGCATTCGAAGTCTTTTAAGGGCGTATAGGCTTTCCCCAAAACTTTGTTCGAACCTTTCTTGAACATCTAGTGGAGTGGAGTGGACGAAAATGGTGGTTGTCCTTGAGGTTCCCCAGGAAAATCTGCTCCCTAGGCTCTGCAAGGTCGGCGTCTGCATCCCGGGGCAACCCTAAGACCTAGCGGTGGTTAAGTGAGCGGTCATTTTAGGCATTGGTGAAGATGACCAGAAAAGTTTGGTGGCCAAGAGGGAAAGATTTTTTCTCACCCTCGAGGTCAGGACTGGTAGCCAACCAATCCAGAGGTGGCGGTACATGACGTACATATTGTACTTATACTCACAAGCAGCTGTCACAAAAACAAACCGAGGCGTAGCGTAAGTATTCTCACTTTTTCCCGCTTACATAAACTTATCTTACACTTCTTACAGGAAACATCCCGTTGAGGAGTGCTACTAACGCCACCTAATCTTCAAGGTTCTTACTGTTGGCATCCTGAGCTCCTAAACAGGAATGTTTAACAAAACTAAAAAAAAACTGAAAACATGGGAGCCTCACAAGGTAAACATGGAGAGAAATTACGACATGTCAGAGAGAGGCACGGAAGAACTCTGTATCGCGCCCAAGCAAAATCCTAAATAATGACCCACATTACTATCCAAGCTAGTCTCAATAGAGAAGATGGCCAAACAACTCGTAAAATGGTAAATTGCATGTACGGTCAATGACAAAAGTAATGATCACCTAAAAGGTATAAACTTTGCGGCATAAGCAACCTACATGCCTATCACATCCGACTCCGTCTGTTTCTGCAAGGAGGAGATACCTTACTTTGTTGGGGCGCATTTTCAAGTTGCACACTATATTGAAATGTTAGTTGCATATATGCTGCACGATTTACCTATTCAGCGATCATTACTTTTGTCAAAGACTGTAAACACATCAAATGCATATATCTACTCCAGCATCGCCTTTAATTAATTTAACACGAAAAGTACATATGAGAATATGCCAGTAGTAGTAGTAACCCATGTTAAAGTCTATTATCGCACAAGCAAAAACCACATGAATAGAAGAAATATTAATTAAAGGACCCCTGTTTCTCGCATTTCTTACGCACCGTCCGGCAGCGGTCATGAGATCAGAGATGAGAAAACAACATAACACAGTAAATAATTAAACTGTATAAGGTACTTCCTCTAAGGAATATAGTTAAACGACTCATACAGAGAAACATCAAATTAGAAGACCTCCCTCTCGTATATGCTAATACACAAGAGCTGCAATTCGCACGATATGAGGGAGCAGAATAACAGCGAAGAATCGAACTGCATGCGGTAATCCTTCCAAGGAATAGTTAAAACGAATCGTACCTACATAGCAACACTGATAATAAGCTCTTCGTGAATACATTAATAAATACTCAATAAAACAACATAAAGGCATAATGACCTGTACAGTATAACAAAGAAACATGATTTAGATAACAGTAGATAATTTAAATTACTTGGAGCAAATACAACAAGTTGTGACACGATATTCAAAGATTAATGGTTAGTACAAGAAAGGATAAAGTGATTGCTCCCTGTAAATACACTTTTCAAAACACTATAAAGTAAACAATGAGAACCCGGTACGCTAGCCATTACCTGAGAGCTCCGGGAATGTTTAGAGGAAAGACTAGAAACAATTGTAACGGGAGGTTTAAATTGGTCGATTAACACAGCCATCACTACTCAAACTGGCCGATAATTAAACCCAAACTTTACTAAACGGTTGAGTGTCAAAATTATACATTACTTCTCCACAAACCCCCTTCTCAGGATTTGGATTCATGTATTAGACAAAATAAAAATTAATAGAAACTGTAACCCTTTCACAACTAACTTTACCTTCGTTTTATAATTATCTTGGTCTAATTATAACTAAACTAACTATAATATTACATGTAGGCGCTGACACATTTGTGTACTTAAATGGGAGAAGTTTCATAAACTGAAACTCTAATACGATAAAACAACTAATCTAACCAGTTCAACAACTAACTTCCCCCAGTTAAGTTCTATGAAAACACACATAATATAGGGAACTTATTTCACTAATTGAAAATGTATCATTACCAATGCAAATGACGAGTTATTGAACACGAGCTAAAATTGCTAGGGTAACCCTAAGATATTTATATCACGGCGTTTGGGGTACACCAAAATAACAAAGGTCACAACATCTTATAATCCGGATTAGCTTAAAGTCCATACATTTGTCTTGATTGAGAATTTCCCTAGGTCAAGGTTCATATTCGCTAGTATATGAAGCTCATTTCTTACGGGATCTGACACGTGCACGACATATGTTTGACTTACGTTCTGCCACAGATTGAATATTGCTTGCTGTATTCGGCTTCCGGTTTCCTTAGACCAAGGACAGGTATTACAGGTAATCGGCTAAGTACGACAGAGATTAAAGTTTATTAAACGCGTGCCTTGGTACATGTAGCACGTTTCGCGTATACACCTGTAATTTCTATGTCCTCCTTAACACCACCATTTATACCGGCTCGCTTGGAACGCTTGTCCTTTGTTAATGCAAAATCAAACGTTAAACATCCAAAAATGTTCGCCTAACTTTTGCCTTCTGCGCTTTTCGCGATCTAAATTTTGGCAACCGACCTGTGCGCTAGGGGGCCGTTCTTTCTCTAATTACTTTTCCCTTTCCTATCATTGCCGGGAGTCTGAAATGAAACCGATTTTCGATAGTTTCCGCTACGCTTTCTCCGCCAACCGCAATCCACTACTCTAATCTGTAAACGTTGCCGGGCTAAAAATCAAAACGGAACCAACGCAAAATTGACGACTCCCGTCTTTTTTTAATCGCGGCCCATACTATCACAGAATAAGGCCGGTTATTCTGTGCATACTATGCAGTCTCGTCTGGCCGTCCAACTCGAGATTTCTATTCGAATGAAGTGAAAGTGAAGTGGAAAACTGCCACGGACAATGCTACCCTTCCTTTTTTACATGAACCAATTCAATGTTCAAACCTAACTTGGAAGAAACTTTCCTTCAAATTAAATTCGCGTTTACACCCATGCTTACGATGTCTTGGTGTCTGACATTGTAAATAAAAACCTGAACCTAGGAGCGGCACTTTTATCGGCACCCAGGCAAAGCGAGTGCGAGTTACTCCGTGTCCAAAACTTTTCATTTTTGCACGATATAAGATAAATTGGCGCATTTAAATAAATGTTTGTAGTATTTTAATAATTGCAAGCTAACCATTATTATGACCCGATTTGTTTAGAGTCTCGCTACGACATTTTTTAAAACACTTTTTTTATGAAATGATACGATAAGAGGCTAGTCTAATTACCAGCAATAGCAAAAAATGGGGAAGAGCTGTTACGCTACCCTTGGACCTTACAACTTTGACCTATACGTAGAGTGCAACAGATTATAAATACTTCCTCATCAAAATCTTGTTTAACAATATTTCGGCCCACATATCTAATCTATATTTGGGTTTTATACAGACTTACTTACGGCAATCTGAAGCTGTAATAATGCACGATGCAATTGAAGTCAAGGTTTAACTTCTTTAATAGGTAATTGGAGTATTAATTTGTTCGTCCATGACAGAAAAATTGGCATAATGCACCGAAGAATGTAATAATTTAGAATGCCAAAGAATGCTTCACCAATTTTATTCACTTCACGTACTTACGTTGTGTTTAATTTATTATATTGTCCTAATTTCTAATATGGCATCAGGTACACTAAACAATGGTTATTGACAGGCGAGACCAACCAAGCGTACCTACCTATCTAAGTTCTTATTCTTCATTCTGGTGCAATAATTGAAGGTTCACCATTTAATTGATCAATCGATGTAGGTACTCTCAAAAGAAGATGGTTCTAGCGCAATCTGTAGATGCATAGCATCCTTGGACAAGGAGGTTGTGGGGAAGCGTTTCTTTCTTTCCTTTTTTCCCTCGTTGAGTCTCTCCTGGCTCTTTCTCTTCGACTTCATCTCCCCCTCCTTGATTGGGTTTCCGTTTTTTTTCTATAATCTTCTTCAACCAGTTACTTGTTCTTCTGTTTTGTTCTAATCGTTCTTCGTTCTTCCTATCTCTCTAGAAACCCATTTCAGATGATCTGCATTTTCCTATAATTATATTTCTCGCCCCCATTATCTCCATTTTTCATCTTCAGATCTTTCATTTCCACATCTGAACTTCGCCTATTATTTTTATATTCTTCTGTTTTTCCTAGGTATTTCATACTCACTCCGATATCAGCTCTTTTTTGCTCCCCCGTGAATTCCATATTTTCTCTCTGTTGTTGCAATTGTATGTTTCGGTCCTATTTTTTTCTGTACATTCCCACCCTTTCTGTACCTACTTCTTCTCATCCATACCTTTCCGTTTCCATTGTAATATTTCTTTCTTTCTTACAGTATGGAAAGAACACAACATAAAACAATGTAAATGTAATGGCGTAATAGTATAATTCGTATTTTGAATGTCAGCAATAGTAAAAATGTTGTTGATGGGCAAGACAATTTGTTGCAAGTGATTGATAATAAAGTATAATAAATATAAATCAAATACGCAAAACATATATGATATAAAAACAGGTTAAAAGCAAGTTGCAAAACAAAGCACTGGTTGGGGTACAAGCAAGTAACAAAACAAGATAGCTGTACAAACAGGTGACTCATCTTTGGTGCAATAAAACTCTTTCGTTAAAAGCAAGACGGGAAATTACATGGCCTTGCTGGTCAAATCAAACTAACAACAAAATATGTGGAAATCAGGGAATCCATATATCGCACATAGATTCTAAACCGAATAGTTTTTGTTAACAGAATCTCGCCCCCGAGATAGATAACTCGCCCCTTGTCGGGGGTATTCGAGCCTACCGTGGAGAATCTAGGTCAATCACGGTATTAGGTGTAGTAACTCATTTGCTCGCTTCATTCACGGAGAAAATGTTAGTTTTTATTAACAATAAGTCAGTACACACGTTAACAATTCGATAACTTTCACATAGGTATTTAAAAGAATGATAAAAATGAATATGAATATTACTTCTGGTCTAGACCATGCACTCAAAATAAACATAAATTGAGTGATAATTATTTACACTAAAAATGAAAAAGATTTGATAACAATTGAGGTTAAATTAGTCAATTTCAAAAACAAAGGTAGAAAATTATAAAAAAAAGTTGCATACAAAACCCAAATAAACTATAAATAAATACAAAGATTACTAAATAACAACAAAGTTATACTGCAATATTTTGTAATTGTTGTTAGTGTTCAATTGTCGCATTAACATATTACTATTATCAGTACGCGTGTGAATATTGGTGCGGCAATTCTACGAACCCTTGTAATACGCAAAGTTACAACCAAATTAGGTACCATACGACCTCCGTGAATTTCAAAATTCAACACGACGTCATTTGATGGTTTTGACATTTGTAGATAATTATCACTTCCAAATGTACATGATCTATTTTAATTTGTTTCATTACGCACTGGTGTAGGTAATGGCCCTCATACAACACACAGACGTACATTAAACGTCCATTGTACATGGGTGTATCTTTTGTACTAGCATAGTACGTACGCAGAATGTCTATACTGGATGTACACTGTGGGGTTAAATGTCAACCATATTGACAGTTTATGTACATACATACTGTAAGTCCTATAGACATTCATGTTTTATTGCACTAGAACAGCTATTTTGAAAACGATATACAGTGTGTCCCAGATCGGGTGGGATTGCATGGGTAACTTTCTTATTATTAAAGATAGAGAATTGGTTAAATGGACAATGTTTTGCAGTTTTAGATGCTTATTTAAAATTTCCTTGTGGAAATTCAAAATGTCGAATAGGTTCGACGTAAATTCAAAAAAACTAAAATTGGTCATTACCTTTAATGTCTTATATCATCGAAAGTACAAGAGATATAAAAAAAGTTTTATATAAAACTTACTGTCTTTGATACGCCTAATTTAGAATTGATGTCAAAACAAAATTCAAGATGGCTACCTTTGAGGAACATTTACCGCGTTTTTTTAATCATAAAAAGGGACAATTTTGCCCCCCATTTATAACTTACACTGAAATACTAATAATAATAATAACTAAATACTTTTCATGTACTACTACCCCATTTGAACCACCCGGTACATTTTTTGGTGAGAGTTTAACATTGAATTGGGAACTACGAGTAAAAAATAAGAGTGGGAATAATAATTCATCCTCCAATACCACCACTTTCACATTGAGCAGTTGAGCACCTGTTTTGAAACTGGAATAACAAGTATAAATTGTGCAGATAAAGCGCATTTTTTTTAACCGAAATAGCTTTTGTTTTGACATCAGAATGGATATATTTTTTGCAGACGTCTCAATCGCCCTTTGTGAGTACCCTCTTCCGACAATCCGTTCTTGAGGTATAAGGGAATATACTCGATCACGATAAGAGGCCGAGGAGGAGGGCTATGGTTGGTAGAAATTAATTCCTTTCGTTGAGACCTTTCATTAGAGTACCATGAAGGATAAAACTAGTTCCCCCCCCCCTCCGCCCCGTACTTTGATAAGAGGACAGAAAGAAGGGCAATAGTTTGTAAAAAATTGTTCCTTTCGTTGAGACTTTTAATTAGAAGGGTAGAACATGTGTTTACCCCCCCCCCCCCCCCATTTCCTAAAATTTAACTTAGTACCACTAAAGGCAAGCGTATGCGAAATCTGAGACTAATTGGTTGTCATATGGAAAACTATGCACGTTTTACTTTTAAAAACAGCATCTCAGGAAATCATTCTTGGGGGGGCCCCCCTTTTAGACAGCGAAATTTGATGGCCGCCTGGCACACCTCCAAGGTATATAGGCTACCTACTGCAAAAAATTCCAGGACTCTAGGACGATTCCCCTAGAAGTAGTTGAAAACGGTAGATGTGGGTCCGGACGGACGGACGGACGGACAAAACTCAAACAATAGCACATTTTTTTTAATTCTTAAAAAATGCGCTAAAAATATACTTTGCAGTTTGCGGTAGTAGATACCTACTTTTGGAATGGGCATGGGAGAGTGGGGCGTAAACGAAATCTAGGTATATCAGGGCGTCGAAAAGGAAAATCCTTCGCCCGAGGCTCATAAGGGCATCTTTGGTCATCCACTTCCACTTTGACCTTTCTATTCAACGACGGCTTTTAGTTTAATTAGATCGCGTCATTCTATGACACTATCGATTACTCATGTTGTACTTTTGAATTACGTTGTCCATGTGACGTAGGTATGCATTAGTGACTAAACGGGTAAAGGTTGAGGTTCATTGTTTTTGTACCTCACATTACATCACTGTTCGATGTTTACAACCAAACATGTTTTAATTTACTATTTACTTTACATACATTCCTCGTCAGTCCGTAACCGATTTCTTATAGCGATGAGATCATTCCTGCCCCGTGTGTCATAATAAACCGAAGGCAACAGACGACGAATCTCGATCTTGTTGCTTTCATCATCGCCACTATTTTAATCAAACCACGTTTAGTCGCGGTTCAGTCATCAACTCGTTATTCTTGTGTCCTAATCAAATCAAAATGGCAATTAGCAGGCTATCGATTATTAAATTTTTGGAATTGGTAAGTGCGCTTTTTTAAATTTTATCATTTGCGTTAGAGACGGTTGCTATGGCTACCGCCATACTTTTCAGGCGCCAAAAGTTCGCGCGCGTTACACCCTCACAGTCCCTACAGTAAATATACAAATTATTGACCCCAGAGAGCTGTTTGTCGACAAACACAATTGTATTAATAATATTTGGGAAACAAATTAGAATTTTTCCCATACTTTTTGTTTTCATCACCGTGCACAATTTTTCGGTTAATCAGATAATGGTAGTAGCATATTTGTTACTCATCAGGCTTATTATAGATAGGACATCCGGTGCTGACCTAAACTGTTGGGAAATCTTCCACTTTACCTTGAAATTCCTTGTGCACCAAAATTGTTACTAAATGTAATTGGCACAAGGTTGTCAATACCATTACAGTATAATCCCATTAAAAAATAATGTACAGGTTGGACGAAAAACCAGTTCTCATTTGAAATACGTTTCAGGCCATTGCGGTTACCTGTGTAGGTCTACACTACCACAGCTATACGGGCAAAATAGAGACCGATTTCGTATCCTCGGGGGCCTTTTGCGGATATGTCATCATTCTATGTGGAGTATTCGCGGGTAAGTTTTGGAAGTCTTCAAGTTGAAAAGTGTGAATTTGAAACCCCTCTAGGTCACCTAATGTCATCCCCCATCAATAGAAGAATAGAAATTTTCTTCTGTCTGGTCGGATGTGCGCTGTTTGTTGCCGCCGGCGCTTTAAATATTCAATATTTCGATAATATGAGGAAAGGCGAAACGAGGAACTACGGTCTGGCGAAGGCTTCACTGGCAATAATTGGCGGCGCTATGTTTTTGATCGACGCTCTTTTAACATGGCGAGGCGAATAAGTGCCTAAACGCGCTATGTTTTCAGAGCACTTGTGTATATACATTTTATTATATGTGAAGCGGATTGCTATAATGTACATTCCAGTTGGCGTGGCCAAATTTTAAATTAAGTTTTTACCTATCTGTATGTACCTACTTACCAAAATCTAAATCGTAAGTCCTACCTCAAGATATAAGCTTTAGCATGTTACCATTTTATAATTTTAATGACCTTCTAGGTCAACTTAATTTAATTGTTTTGTATATTAAATGCACGTTTAGATTAGTTATCTTTGGAAGTAATTGTTGAACTTGAACTGAACTCCTGGGTGAGTTTGCACCAGCATTTTCATGAAAATACGATTAGCCTCTTTCTTGGCGCAAAATTTGCGAATGCATAATTGATCATGGTTCAAAGTTTATAGCAGTTGGGAATCTGTACTGATTTATGAACTTGATAAGCCAATATATTACTAACTCAAAAGAACATTCTGATGAATATCGAATTTGTGTGTAAGTAATTCATTTATTTGTTACGTTATCTATTCGATAAGTGTTGCTTGGCCGTCGTCGCAAATTAATCCTGGTATTATGATGGTGGCGGACACCGAAAATACAACCAAGTAGATTAAAAAATTTCCAAAAGAAACGCGAAACTAAGCCAGAAATCTGTCCATTCGACATTTGCTTATAATCGGTCATGGATGGATAATTAAAGGTAACGCTAACGCAATCTCATAAACCGATACAATGGAATATTGAAAGATTCTCAGTAGGTCCACAATTTATTTTTCTTGGTTATTTTCAAACTTATTCGATCATAATATTTTTTGTGTCGTCCATGTACTATGAGCCACACGAAAATGCTAAAATATCACGCAGAATTTCATAGATAAATGTGATTTTCACACCACTGTTCGTCACTAAAAAGGCTACCTAGGTTTAAGTACATACAAACATTGATTTTCACAATCAATTTTTAAATCACACAATCGGCTTGCCGAAATTACACAAGACCATAAATTTACTGGGTTCGTAAAACAGGTCACAAAATTTAAAAGCAATTACAAGCATTTTAAATATTGAACGGTTGAACCCTTTTTGTCCCGATAGTACCTATTTTTATTCTTACCGGAACAAATTTAATGTTATCCAACAATACATAACAATAAAAAAAAGTCACTGATGTTGTTAATTGCAGGGTCTGATAATGATCTTCAGTGCACTTAATTAAAAAAAAAGCAGGTTTTTCTGAGAAATATGAGATAATTGCGCAAATTAAACCTATGTGTGGTATTACAGCATCCTACCCCATTAACTTATAGGCATTGATTACACACACAACTGTATAATTAATGTCGTTAAGTATATAATGATCTTAGGGCACCACTTACTTACTATCCAGCTGCACAACTCTCTTGGCGGGAGCGGTTTGCGCCGATCTACGCCTCTTGGGGTAAAAGACTGCATTGCCTGTTTGGCGTGCAATTAAGCCCAGTGTTGCCACGTTGGCCATTGTCCCGAATTCAATTCAATTAGTCAATAAAATGTATTAAACACCTAACCCTAGTTCATTGCAATATTACGTAATATTGTACAGCAAATTCTAAACGTTCACATTACAATACAGCTCAAAAATCACCTACTACGGTACTGTGAAGCGACCGCGCGATGAAAATTCGTTTAATCCGGCCACGACTTTTACCCCAAGCGCGAGAAATAGGGCACCATTCCATCTCGCTTGGTTGTAGACCGCCAGATCAAAGGCGCCGCTCGAGAGTTGCGGAGCTGGATAGTAAGTAAGCTGTGCTTAGGGGTTCACCATTGAAAACTTTGACTTGCCGTATACTTACAGTTGGCAACTCTGGGGCACAAATACATGCAGCGCCATCTAGTTTTTGAGTTGAAACAACGGACGTTTCGAGGCACTTTTGAATCTCGGTAGCAGTCGGCTCGGACTGGGGTACCTATACCCTAGGTAGCACGAATAAGTCCTACAAGAACGTTGTGTAATACACGCCATTGAATAAGTAAACTTATTCTTACCAAGAAGGTTCTTTTATATGTGCGATGTAGTTCTCCATACTTGGAACGTTATTATGCAGTAAATTAAGAAAGTAACGCATTAGGTGGTAACGTTGTATTTAATATTTCTTATTGCCAATCGATTTCGACAAAATAGTTATGCTATCATCAGCCTGACTGGTTAATAATGAATGTATCCACCAAACAATTATTTCCGCACGATGAGCCAAAGCCAACAACATCCAATCTTTCATTGGATTTGTAATTAGAAAATTAAGTTAATTGCATGTTCAAAGCTCATTTACGACAGCCTCGAGAAAAAGTCCTTTCAGGTAGGATAGGATAAAGTTTCAAAGGTATACATTCGATTCACTTTCAAATTAGAACAATTTCACTTAAAAATCTGCTAGAAATGCTAGAATGTAACTCAATGTTTACAAACTACACACGCCATTTGTAAATTACATCAGCGCCTCTGGTGTTAATCTGAATCGCGAATCAACTTTAAAACACACTTTACCAATGTTTTTATCGTTGTAATGGCGTTATGATAGAATGATACCTATATTCCGTATAATTAAAGTTTGTGTTGATTTCCTATTTAATTTATACACATTAACATGGAATTGCCTTTTCTTTTAAACCCAGCAAATTGAATTCTACTTAGCTGCAGGTTCATTTCAATAAATTTGTACTCGCAAAAGTAGGTACCTAAACAGATGTTTTATTCCTTTCGGAAAATACGATCGATACATTTAGGATTGCTGAGTAGTATTGCATACTCTATTGTTTGGATTTACTCTAACGGCCCATAAAACATAGTGCCAATGTCAGTACCTACTTGGTTACCTCCATTTATTTATTTCTTCACTTTATAAGTTGTCAGTTATCACCCCCTCGCCGCTTTATCAATACGACGCCACTGCTAATAAGGTTAGGTTATGTTATGTCAATTTTAATCAAATGGTTGCCCTGAGCAACCGCTAGTTTACAAACTAAACCGTTTTTCAAAATATGACTTTATACTTTGAAACACCGGTCTTATTTAAAGAGGCCAACGTTATATCCACAAATCAGGTGTGGCATCCAAATGCGCCCCTACTTGCCATCGCAAGTTATTCTCAAGATCGTGGAGGTTTCGTGGGAATCTTCGACGAACTCGTAAGCCCTGTACTCTACGCTCGTGCGAAACTTAACAGAGAACTTTTTGAATAGGGAGAGCCGTTGAAAGAGGTGACCTTTCCAGTTCACGCCGTATCGCAGGTGACCTCCTTGGTATGGCATCCGGAACGGAACATGCTGGTAATCGGCTGGGAAAATGGCGAAATCCGAGCTTGGAACGGTGTCGATAAGGAGTTTGTCAATGTGGCCGGCCCTCACAAGGCTCCGGTCATTTTGTTAGAGTTCAGTCAGAAAGGTGGTCGACTTGTGTCCTGCGATTCGGTTTGTAATTCACACAATATACAGGGTGTTCACTGACAAGCTGAGATAATTATTATATTATGTGAAACAAATGTTTATAGATTTCTGGAAAGGTGCCCATGTGGAATAATGTGCCTGTTTCAATGTTACATATGACTTATTCTTATTGATATACCTACCAGAAGTGGACTGTTTATTTTAAATGGAATTCTCTAAATGTTATACCTTTTTTTACAAAAACGAATGAATTGTTGAATTATCTGAGTTTTTTAAAATTTTTAGAAATACACTGCTTCACAAAACAAATAAGACAAACAGACAACCGACCCTGTGATTTTCATGAATTTTTTAAATAACGCCTAGCCGTACCTAAAGTCAGTATATATACGAGAGTTGCACCAAAAATTCCCGGTTAATTGTTAGTGCTATCAGAAAAGTAATATAGGCGTCATATGTGCCCATTTTCGGTCAGTCTGCAAACGGTAAAATCACTTAAGAGATATACTTACAGGGAAAAAATCCTACATTTTCTTGCTAAAAAGAGATACAGAAAAATATTTCATACAAAAATGTCATTATAATGATTGTTGAATAATCTGCTTTTTTCTATTTATTTATTTATTTTTTTTCTACGGGGTCAGGTAAAAAAGTTGCCTGATTTAACCTCATTTTTTAAATATTTTAATTAAATAAGATAGCGTATTAAATTCTTTTTTTTTTCAAAATTTACGTAACACACCATGAATGATACTAAAAAAATATTCAAAACAATTCAAAAATGATTTAATACATGTCAAAAAAATTTCAAAAGGATTTTTTAACCTTTTCTTTTTTGTCTGTTATGTTTTTCAAACAAGAACGCTATTCTTTTAGATTTAGATCCCAAAAAAATGAGCTTAGATCCGGTAACTTTTTTACCTCACCCTGGATACTTATTCTGAAAAAGGCGTAGATTATTCCTCATTATAAAAGAAACTAAATAAAACATTTTTCAGTATATCTTTGAACTAAGAAAATGTATAATAATTGACTCAGTGCGTCGTTGAACACCCTGTATGTCTTATCACTACAACGGCTGCGAGTAGACAGGTTCCTTGGTTGGTTGGAAGGTCGACAGTAAAAATCAAATGATGACTGTCTTTCATCACGAGCTCAAGGAATCGATAACGCACCTAACCTTTCGTCTCACCGTCCGCAATCATGGCGACTACGACATTGAAGGTCTTGCTAAGGCGGCGGTGAACGGCGACGAGCAGGCGCTTGACATTTTTAGCAGTTGGAGGCCGAAGACCACCGCTCGCAAGTTTAAAGTGCAAGATTCTGCGGATAATAATTGCTTTTTCGTTGGAACACAGCAAGGTAAGTTTCGAGTTAATAAATAAATAATAATTATACTTAATAAATAAATAAATAATAATAAAAAAAAAAGGATTACTATATGGGAAGATGGTAATCAAGTCCAAATGGTGACGGGCAGGGTAAACAAGAAAAGAAAAGGAGGTAGGTACTCCACATATTAATCATATATTTATGTCTCGAAAAGGAGACGTCCGGGTGGCTCTCTCGTGGTTAGATAGCATTATTAGTTAAATACAACAAGGCACACTCAGACATGAGTGCTTACGAACCACCCTAACCTAAACATCCAAACTTGACTCATGTAAGTCAATATTTTACATACCTACATGCAGAATTGAAATGTATGTTATCCAAGCTCAATGGCCTCAATTTTTTTTGTGTTAAATTTTAATTTCAAGGTCATTCATAGCCTCATTTTTTGTTTCATTTTGAAGGTTATCAAAGGAATATCGCAAAACTTACGACCGAATTTGTTGGACTTCGTATTGAAATACTGTAGGTAATTAAGATTCCTTTATTTAATTGTCTGTTGAACTCCTGCGTGCGTAGTATGTCTAAAAACAGGTTCCAAATACCTTTCTTTCTTGTAGCATTGTTGTTTTGTTTTTATGTTTTGTGGAATAAATTTTTGTCTTATTAACTGTGTGGTTAATCGAATCCAAAGTGCGACCCAGATGTAGTTTTCAGGGCAGATTTTTGTGTTTGTGCCCAAGAATTAATTAAAATTTGTCTGGTTAATTGTCAGGAGCCGAGAGTTGATTGAGGCCACAGTGTCTTTTAAATTTTTATAATGTGAGCGTTAGGATTTTTCTTTACAGTGAATGCCGAAGGTGTACAAGGAAAAAGTAGAGAATTCTAAATTTAAAGGTTGATTTGTTTTGAGCTAGCTGGACAGGTATTTTGTGAGTGGTTTAGTGACCATTTGCCATTGCCACAGGATTACTCCGACCTTGTGCTCATTTGTTCTAGTCAACTGCGGTGATCTAGTTTGTGTCGAGTGATTCAGTTTTTCTGGGTTTCATGTTAGTTGTTGTTTCAGGATCAGTCTACTACATAAACGATGGAGGAGTATGTAGGGAGGTGTTAAACACCGATGCAGTACCACTGAATTACATCTTACATCACCCCATCAATAACACCTTGATTATAATGATGGAAGGCTTAACAATAGGTCACTTCGCAATCGACTCTCAGGGGCAACTATCGGAATTAATGAAAGTGAAACTGAGTGGACGTGGCCAAGCGCTTCGTGGTGTAAGCAACCAAGGGCTGGTCTGGGCCACTAACACTTGCTTAGCGGTCTTGACAGGTTTGTAAGCACAATTCTCAAACTTGGGGCTACGTAGATCTCATTATAGGAGATCTAACCGTGCGCGTATGGGATATCGAATCAAACGACAATTATATCTTACCCACCGAACTGAGGCACTTTGAGAAAGTCGACAGTAAGCCTCAGCTTAACGAGCATTTCAGCTGCATCAGCTTCTGCAAGGTCAATCAGACGCTATGCGCCGGGACTAACATCGGTCGCATCTATTTCTGGAGGAAGAAGCAGGCCAGAGCCGAAAGTGTCGATCCTAACGACTGCGTCTGGGAGCTTCATAACTTGTGCAACATCAGCGGCACCATTAAACAGTTGGTTTGGGGATCGGTTAACTTTCGTTTGCCGCTTCTCAGCGTGAATTGCGTTACGAAAGTGTACATAATGAAGGAGCAGAATTTGTGCACGTGCTTTTCTGAGAGTATTTGGGCGACGCAGCGAACTGCGAGTCAAATTTTGTTGGAAACTTTGGAGACGAGCTCGGTTGTTAATACTGACATGCAGGTTACTGATATGAGCATAAATAGAAGTTACATTGCCGTTACCAATGGCCGTTTTATTTCTGTCTACGATATTGTGGACAAAGATCACGAGAAAATCACTTACGAAGTTAGTTACAATGCACAGAAGAAGAATGAAAAGAAAGCTCTTGGTATTAGCTTGATTAATAACTTTAGCTGCGATAATGAAGGTATAATTCTGTTCGGAAAGTCGATCGTGATTCTAACACCAGCCGGTGTTTTAATCAAGGCGCACACCGGATCGAATATATTTTCAATACCGTCTACGCCTGCGGAAGGTGAACCTATAGGTATTGATGTCACCTCAAACTACCTCACTGTCTTTACAATGGAAGGCTACTTGAAGATTTACGACCTGTCAGAAACCGAACCCAAGGTCATAACTCCGATACGCAGTCTGTACGACATGTGTACCGACTTCGGGGAAATCATCCAGGCTAAAGCGAACAGTAACGGCAGTAAGGTTGCGCTGACTTTGGCGGCCGCTAATTTGGTACCCGATGGAAAGCTGTACGTTTGGGACGTCGAGCAGGACAATCTGAATTTGTCGTACGACTTTCGCAAGTTTAACTGTAGCAAGAGTAATACGTACGAAGATTTTCGAGATATATGCGACGAACTGATCGACGACGATGCGGACGAGACGACGGCGCTGTATAATAAGATATGTACGAATCGGATTCCGCTCTCTCTGCACTGGGACAACGAAGACGCGCGACTTTTGATTTGCAACGCGAAAAAGCTGAAGAGTTCTGGGGGAAGAAAGCCGTATTTGTCTCTATATGGAAAAGAACATAATGAGAATAAAACAGGTAGGTCTATTCCAAATGTTGCATATTTACCATTTCCCCGAGGCAATTTTTGATAGTCGTGTTTTTGGAAAAAGTGCACGTGAAAAAAGCGCCGATGTTTTTCACTGTAATTTCCTGCGAGCTGTTTTACTGGGAAACACAAATAAGACAGAAGAAGATGCGCTTCGACCGTAGATGCGAGAGGTTTGAGAATAAAAATTTGCAGCGCAGATTGTGTTAATACAATTTTTTAATAAACAACCTAACATCAACCCCAATTTGAGAAACGTGTTAATAATTTATTAATACTGCATGAAACAGCACATACTTATACATTTCCAACGGGCCATTATGACCTACAGGCCAGGTGGCAATCGCCACCCGCCCCCTCGGGCCAGTCCGCCCCTGAATACAAATCGTGCGTTGCGCGTAGGGAGAGCGGTCCAGGTGCTGTATTAATTTTTGCACACTCCCCCACGCTCCGTTAATAGTAGAATCCCTTGATAAATTTACTGATACAGGCTTACCATTCTACACGAATACACGGACCTTGGGGAGGAAAGGCATAAAATGTGCGTTCTCTTAATATTCTAATGCCTATTTCATGTGCATGGCGAAATTGCGATCACGATTTTACTATAAACTCTAATAACTGCGTCACAACTCGTGCTAATGGAGGGCGTCGGTGATCACTGTCAATATTGGTGCGAATATAGAGGTATCGTTTGTAATATTTTCGTTTGATTGTTAGGTTAGGCAAGAGGATTCTTTCTTTATTTGTTATGAAGTCGTTAAACTTACGTATGAACGACCCTCGTATATAGCATCTGTAGGCTTCTAAAGGTGACATATTTGCACCGACTTAGCAAAAGTTGACACAAAACCAATATTATATGTCAAGGGCCAACTAAAAGAATCGATTAGCAATAGGGTATCAGCAAGGTCGCATGGCATGGCAAAGTATTAGTATAAAGTAATTGATACAGTGCCAAATGCAAATATGGAGCAATCTTGATCTTTGGTTGCAGCCAAAGTTAAAAACAAATTTAGGATACCTAAGCAGGTAGCCAAAATTTTAAGAAATGGTGAAACGCACAGGTTATGATTTCTCTTTGGTGCCATATAATTCTGTGTCAAAAACTGCATGGTTGCGGGAGTTCCCAGTCGAGAGTCGAGAACAGTTCCGGCATTAGGTGACGTAACTAAATGTGGTTACAGTTATTTACCACCTCTGGGAGCATCTCTTTAAGACGAAAAGTGTTACTTTCTAAACCTTGTAAAGAAGTCATTACGGGCCAAGACCAGGTAAATGTAACATAAACATAAATTAGGCAAAAATTTACACCAAAACGTAAATGATGCACACGTTATCGATTTCATTTCTAGACATATTTTCGTTCACGTTCGCTATGAAGCGGCATATGTGTAAATTTTCGTATGTTGAACAAAATACAAATTCAAAACCAAATTTTACTTACTTTATTTATTACAACAGCATTGAAAGTTTTCTTTGTTTTCCCATACCGAACGAAATTCTTTTTTTCTGCGGTGTGAGTTGAGGTATATGCAACCTGCACAAAGATTGTTGAACTTGTTGTGCACTTAACCCCCAGGTTCTACACTAACTTCACACTACAAGAACACGGAAATAAAACCCACCCGGCAACGTTTAAAAATGGCCCCCCGAATGACTATTCCCTCCACAACTACACAAGATCCCGCTTAAATTTGAAGGCATGGCCCCCTTACGTTCTTTATAAACAACGCTATGACCTGAAGCACAGTAGGGAAGGAACGTGAAATAAAACACTTAAATTGTGAAAAGTTTGTTTAATAATGATCGTAGTTATTATGATTGTAAAAGCCCGGAAATTTAGTTGGTGTACATTAATATAAACAAAGCAAGCAAAGCCAAAAGGCGTACTCTCGCAAAAGTAACTGCTAAGGGTAAAAAGAGTACGACGTAAGAAAAACCTCGCAGTTTGATTAATACAATCCAAAAGTTAATTAACAAAATATTTTGTAAAAGTTTAAGCAGTACTTAACAAAGATAATAAATGCATATATACAATGTTGGTGACACTCAAGGTTAAAAGCAAGTTTTTGGGAACAATGGGTCAGGTAGTAGCAGGTACCTAAATTCTGAGAAAGGGTTAAGTGTACAGGATGTGACTCATCTTTGGTACAGTAAAGTCCTTTTGTTAAAAGCAAGATGGAAAATTACATGGCCTTGTACGCAAATTTAACCAAAAACAAGATATGTGGAAATTACTGAATCGCCATTCATTTATCACACATAGATTCTAAACTGCAGAGCTTTGATTAGCGTAATCCCGCTCCTGCAAGATGGGCAGCCCGCCCCTGGTTTCGGGGATTCGAGCCTACAGTTGGATGTTGAAGACAATTACGGAATTAGGTGTTGTAACTCAATTGTGTCTACAGTTTTTTTCCACCCCCGTGACTGCTTCATTCACGGAGAAAATTGTTAGTAACAAGCAACAAGTCAGTACATACATCAAACGAATCAGTAATTTCAACATATTAAAATAAAATTATCAAAACTTATATGAATGTAACTTCAGGGACAAGACCAAGTAATCAACATCAATGAACATAAATTAAGCAAGCATTACACCAAAAACGTAAACAATTACCTACAAACAATAACATAACGGTATCACACATGTGATTCTGCATTGCGGTTAAACCAAGTAAATTTCAAAAACAAAGATACAAACACACAAAAAAAAATAAAATTCGGCATACAAAACACAAATACGATATAAAGAAATGCGAAAATTACTACCTGCATTAAATAACATAAAATAACAACAAACATTTATGGAGCATTCGTGCTTTCTAGATGGCGCAGGCAGCTTTTCCCCACTAGAAATTGCATGGTTGCCAACTCTCAAAAATGTATGTATCGTCGTAAGTTGTATATACAGGGTGGAACCTTTCAAACTTAAAAACATTTGCTTGTTTATTACATATTCCTGGTTAGTCTACTTATTGGTGGATAAAGAATGAAGACATTCAGCTATCATTTGATCCTTATCTAAATATTTTGTCTTTGCCACATAATGAATTATTAGTAATTTCTTCTGTTTAAAAAATATACACCCCTTCTCAGTTCTACGCAAAATTTTAATCCAACCATAGGAATGGTAGAAATTAAAAGCAAAATTGCCCTTGAATGAAAAAAAAATAACCAACACCATTTGTTTGGATTTGATTCTTTTCAATAAATACCATTTGTTTCTGCAAATAATTCTCATAGGTCAGTTTCTTTAGGAATATCAAAATTACATTAAACCAAATTGTTTAATGCAAATTCCTAAAAATAAGCGACCATTACTTTTATACACAAAAAAGTTAAACAGTAATTGATGTGGATGATAATTTCTTCTGGTAACCAGTTGATTTTATCTTCTTAACTTCATGCACTGCCCGGTAACTTAGTTGTTGGAATGAACGCCAAACAAAAATGTTCATGCTTATTGTGAATGCAAACAAACCAGGTTTTATTACTTGCGCCCAGAAATAAAATGCCAATGTTCCGATGTGTTGGTATTAAATTTTTCCGAATAAATTAAGCTTTTTTTCAGAGTAAATGCATCAATTAATTATTTAAAATTTCCGAGTGCGGTTGTACACAAAATGTTATTTATTGCACATGGCGCTGTCCAAATGCGTCACTCAAACTTAGATAAACTGCAACAAAAATTACTGTTTATCACAACGAGTTTTTAAATTCAGTTTATTTAATCCCGTTTCTATTTGAAGCGTGTCCAATTCGAAAATGTTCTGTCGCGTAAATTTTATCACTCGTAAAGGAAACGGCGTTGCTACAAGGCTAACGTCCAATTTTGGCCTAAAATTAAATCTGCACGTTGCGGGTAGCGATGCGATTAAAAAATAGCAGCGACGTTCTTGTTTGGATTTTTCCACCCAAAATGATAACTGGTAACACTTTATCGGTAGGTACTTGATAAATTTCGTTTCAAACGATAATTTATCTAAAATAGTACGTAACCGCTCGTGAAATTGTCTGCGAAAATATCGCAATTTGCAAAATTCTTACATCAAAATATAATCATCTGCTGTCTAAAATCCCCGCACACATGGTCTCAATGCTTATCGCAAAATGCACCCCTTATCGCTTTTTATTTCCAAACGTACTTTCATGTTCGCTATGAAGCGGTACATGTGTATATTTTCCCATGTTTACCAAAATACAATCTCAAAATCGAATAAAGAATGAATGCGGATGTGATGCATTCTTTCCATGAGTGTCTGGAATCTGTGCAATATAAGCAAATTGAATTGTGTTTAGTATCAGTTCCAACTTCGATGCCGAAGTGAGAAATAGTGACCCCTTTCATTAACCGAAATATCGGTATATAATATAAAAATCTCTTCAAAGCTGACTACTTCCAGGGCTTTTTGTGTATATTGCTTATATATTTGTCAAATGAAAAAGCTCATACTGGTATTTTTTATTTGCGAAACACTCATATCGACATTTGAGCTCGCACGTAACACAGCGTAACTTGAGACTATTAACACGCGTTCAGGTCTCTTGTCATCAGACTTCTCAGGTGAACCACTTGCTTAGTAACACACACGAGGTACTCTTGCTGATTCGCGTTCTTTGCGAAATTGTTTTGACCCTATCTTTATCGTACGATGGAATGATAACAAACAAGAGCAAAAACACACTCTATATTCAGTGTACATCTTTTCTACGTAACTTTGGATCATTTTAGCAGTGAAACGGTCACTAGAAGACGAAGATCAGGTGGTAATAACGATGTTCATTTCGACCGACCACGGTATTCGCATCCAAGATATCAAGGCCATCGACGCCGAATCCAAACTGATCGGACTGGCGACCCCTTTTATGGTCGTTCTTAGCAAACACAACATCGAAAGGGTGGTCATGAACGATTTTAACGGTTTGGAGAAGTGCAATAAGGCGACCAAGGAGGCCATCTTGGATTTCAGTTACAATCTCAGCTTGGGAAATATGGACGCCGCGTTCAAGGCGATCAAGCTCATTCAGTCGGCTGGAGTTTGGCAGAGTTTGGCGCGAATGTGCGTTAAAACTAGACGGTTGGATGTCGCCTCCGTGTGCTTGGGTCACATGGGCGACGCTAAAGCGGCCCGAGCGCTGAGATTGGCGGTTGCTGACGCTTCGTTACCGATAGAAGCTAAAATAGCGGTTCTTGCAATACAACTAAACATGCTGGTAAGGACGTAAAAAAACCACCCTGTATTTTACTCTGGGTTTAGGACGAAGCGGAAAAATTGTACATGCAGTGCGAACGTTACGACCTGCTGAATAAATTCTATCAGAGCCGCAATCGAATGGACGAGGCGCTGACGGTTGCCGAAAGCAACGATCGCATACATCTGAAAAACACCGAGCACATGTACGCACAAATGCTCGAACAAAATGGCAACCTTCGCGAAGCTGTCTATAGGTACGAAAGGGCGAACACGCATGTACAGGAAATACCGCGCATGTTAGTCGAACAACCGGATCAGCTCGAAGTGTACATGTCGACTACTACCGAACCGTAAGTACCTACTGCGTGATGAAACCTAATTTTCCTACTTCCTACTACTAAATATTTTATTTCCTCTTCGAATTCAATTTTTAACGCACTCAAATAGTGCGTTTTGGCTTGAGAACTCAAGCGAGAATCCTTCGCTCATTAGAACAAACGCAAACAACTCGACTCGCGTACTTCTTGAGTCCAAAAGGAAACTCGCATTTCACGTGCTCGGCTTATCGCACAACGGAACGAAACTTTTAGGTCCGAAGAGATCGGACAACCGCGCAATACGTTTCTTGATATTGCTGGTTATCGCCAGACATATTTTCGTTCAGGTTCGCTATGAAGCGGTACATGTGTAAATTTACCAAAATATAAATTCTAAAAAATTTGTTTAAAACACAGTACATAAACCTGCTTCCTTTGGAAAAAAAACGTAATAGGAAACAGGGCCGAGTGCTCCCAATGAAGAACTTTTAAGTTTGTCAGTAATAAAACTCATGTTGAAGATTTTAAAATAGCGATCGCGTACGCACACCACGATACTCCAAAACGATTGGGTGATGTACAGAATTCGTGTTTCAGAGAACTTCTGAAATGGTGGGGTCAGTACATAGAATCGCAGGGCGATCTAAACGGCGCACTGAGAACGTACGCCAAAGCGGGCGACATCTACAATCAAGTTCGTACGCTCTGCTTTATGGAGGAAGAAGGTCGTGCCACCGAACTGACGCGCGCGAACACGGATAAAGCCGCCTTTTACCACATGGCCCGCCACTACGAAACACTGAACAACATTAAGCAGTCTGTCGAGTTTTTTAAGAAGGCTAACGCGTATAGTAACGCGGTGAGACTGTGTAAAGAGAATAATATGGGCGAGGAGCTCTGGAGCATTGCACTGGTCGCCGGTCGGCAAGAGAAATTGGAATGCGCCAGGTACTTTGAGGAAGTCGGAGACGCCGAGAAGGCCATTATGTGCTATCACAGAGCGGGTGAGTAGGTAGTAAATCGGAAGGGGGTAAAATCGGCAATGGATGTTCACAGGGATGTTTCACAAGGCCTTGGACCTTGCTTTTAAATTCGAACAATTTGACGTGCTGCAACAGGTCGCCGTGAGTTTAGACTGGAACTCCGACCCGGCCCTAATTAAAAAGTGCGCCGACTTCTTTGTCGCCAACGAACAGTACGACAAAGCCGTTGATTTGTTAGCCGTGGGGAAACACGTAAGATGGTCCCCTACTCTCGATCACATTTAAACCATTATTCCTCAGTATATAGACGCCATTAACATATGCCTAAGTCACAACGTGCAACTGACCGAAGATTTGGTGGAGAAACTTACACCTGAAAAGGAGGCAGTCGACGAGACTACCAAAAACAAAATATTAGAAAGTCTGGCCGAAAGTCTCATGATTCAGGGCCACTATCAGTTGGCAACGAAAAAATTTACCCAAGCAGGAGATCGGGTAAGTCCTCATCCGTGTAATGGGATCTCTTACAAAGTGTCTAGGTACGAGCAATGAAGGCGCTACTCAAGTCGGGCGACACCGATAAAATAATCTTCTTCGCGGGCGTGTCGAGGCAGCGAGAAATCTACATCATGGCGGCTAATTATTTGCAATCTCTCGATTGGCAAAACAAACCGGAAGTCTTGCGTAATATCATCACGTTCTACTCCAAGGGTAAGGCTCAAGATCTACTGGCTAATTTCTACGTCGCATGCGCACAGGTTTGTGACATTTACTGTGGAGTGCCGTCGCAAATGTTCTCGTTTCAGATCGAAATCGATGAATTTCAAAACTACGAGAAGGCGTACGGAGCGCTTACCGAGGCTTCGCGGTGTCTGACGAAAATCCCGAATGCATCGGTCCAACACGAGAAGGCATCCGAAGTCGTTAAGAAACGCATGGTCGCGATCAAGAGGTTCATCGACATACGCCGCTTGTTCGAGAGAGGCGATATCGATAACGCCATCACGCAGTCGCGGCAGTTTTTGGTAGCGGGCGGGCCCGACTTGGAAGAGTCGGTTAGGCGCGGCGACGTGTACGCTTTAATGATACATCACTACGTAAAAAATCAGGAGTTTCTCGAGGCCAAGCAGGTTCTAACGGAATTGCGTCAAGTGCTATCCAGTTCAGGAAATGTGCCCATCACTTACTATGTAAATAAGGAATTAATAGAGGCCTTAGCGGCCGGGTTGGGCACGACCGTTGGTATCTTAATACCTTCGAGTAGCAAGTTGAGGAGCTCAGTAAGTCAAGATCAGGGCGAGGGGGAAATTGAAGAGGAAGTTAATTAGGTTAAGTTGATTGTGGAACCAATCCGTCCTTTTATTATGTGATAGTATTTATGTTTTTATCCAAAACGATTTGTAGGTTAGGAAAATACAAATAAAGGTAACACTAAACTCAGTGATTTTCGGGTGAACATTTTGCATCATTATTAAAATATCGTGTAGCTAAGCAAAAGTCCATCATTACCTCATAAATGGTCCCTATTCCCGTGACCTACTGCATTTGAACCTTCTATAAATGATGCGTACCGCCAGCTTGTTGAGTTTCATTACTTTGGGCTAGGGTTCGAGTCAATTTTGGTTGCTTTTTATAGAAAAAGATTTTAACGCAATGGGATTGGTCAGCTTTCTCTAAGCTATTTAATTCTTTGGTTTTCCATCAATTTGGTACAAAAATATAGGAAATTAACGTCCTGGACACCTTGAAAAAATTATTTTCTCAATTCCATTTGGATGTGAGGGGTACGCCGTCACTCGTACCAATTGTAGACTGTTCCTCGGATCGCGTGTGAATTTTTTGAGTAAAAATGCGCTTTTATACATTTGCAAGGGACAAGTCGCCAGGATTTTTTTAAAAACATTGATGACTCCTAGTGAACCAGGGGGTGGAAAATTTATTTTTAAAAAAATTTTTGCGCGGGATGCTCAATCGGGTGGACCATCGAACTGGCAACCAAATGGTCTCTCTGTCGTAGTGGAAGTTTTTACCCTCGCGGTGGGTTGATACTTGGTGATTCCGTTGCCGTTAAGGGTGTGTCCACTTCTCAAATTTTTTTCGGTACAGTGCGACCACCCGACGCGGCAGGGGGAGGACGTGAAGCCATCACGTATCCACACAATCGCCGAAGCTGGGCGTATAATAGTCTTATTAAAATCAAAACAAAAGAGTAGAAAATTTTGGATCTTATTGGTATACAGTACAATACAGTATGATGGAAATGGTAATGGAAGAGGTGAAATTAAGACAAAGTCTAAATATGTCAAGAAAAAGACCAGGTAATGCGCAGTATCCAAAACCGAAAATATTGTATAGGTATATAAACCTAAAATACTTACCACATTGACGGCAACTTTTCTTCAAAATAAACCCCCGCTCGCGTAGTCTTAAAATGCGAAGGGTTTTTACCATCTATATGATAAGAGTTACTTGCAAAAAGCGTACAAAGATCTTGGTCCTTTGAGCCGAATTTAATTTCTTTTTACTTTTTTACCGTTTCAAATGTTGTAAGTATATGTTCAAAACAACTCTTTTACAAACTGTTAATCAAGTAAAACGAAAGTTTACCTAAAGGAAAAGTAAAAAACGGCGATTGATCTGGTATCTGTGCTAGCCACAGCAATTTTTTGTACATGTTGTTTTGCTTAAATTGATAATAGATTTGTGGTGTTTTTTGTACTGAATTGATTATCATGTTTTCCACTTGCATTTATGATGTCTCTTGTGTTTCGTTCGATTTAGCGCATTTGACTCAATACCTGATCTTTATTGTACAATTTGAGATATTTGATTTGTATATTTCTCTTTTGCATTTTATTATCGTGTAGTTGATTTATTTCTTGTATTTGTGTGTAGCCATGTTTTGTTTGTCCAATGGTGTTGTTTTTCTTACTTTTTCTTGTGTTTTCTTTTGCATAGAATTTGGGGTTTTATTTAATTCTTTTCCTATGCCTCACGTACCAACACAAAGACAAAGAACGGCCATAGCATAACAAAACGTAGGAGCCCTATTCATACCACCAAGTCCAAGCCGACTGTTACCAAGAGTCGAAAGTGGCGGAAAATGTCTGTCATTTCGACGTTAGATGGCTCTGCTTGTAATTTTTTCCCCGAGCTGCCAGCTAAGTATAGGTTATTATAAGTCATTGAATAAAGCCTAATTTTTTATTCAATGGTTAAGTCAAGATTGCAGTACCGGACCCCTGAAATTATCACAACTTTAGCCTGAATTTTAAGATTATGATTTGAAATAAAAGTAGGTATATTGAGTATAATTCCATTTTATTTACTATACTGTTTCAAGGGGGGGCACGCGGTATGGGATACCTTGAGATAAAGTTGAGAGTCTCGCGTTTTTAAAAATAATATGTAAAAGGCAAAGCCCCCTAATAAAATCATGATAAATTAAATTTGAAGTATTTCTAGCGGGACAGCCGACATTAACTCCTGAGCCACAAAAAAACTAAAAAAATGTTTAATGGTGGCCCCCTATACTTCATCTTTGGTACTACTATCTGCTGTTCTCTTGGCTCCTTCGCGCGTTTCGCATTATGCCAGTATCCCGAAGTTACAGATTATTGGATACAGGATTTTGTTGTTCGCGTACTAAAATTGCTTCCCAGGCAGCACATACATTTCATTATGCACTGAACACTGAACAGTTAACACGACGATAATGGGATAAAATATAAAATCAAGAAAAAATTAAACATAAAGTAATTAAATTATCGAGATCGAGAAAAACGATGGGAAAGGAATAGAGAGAAAAATGTAAGTAAGAAAACGTGTAGAAATGAATCCAAACTTTGCTCAAATACACGTACGTACAAAATAATGAAAAGCAACGAACAATGGGGAAGTAGGAAAACATTATATATCCAACTCGAACGAATAAAGAGTGCGACGAAAGAGTGGAAAAACATAGAATTTAAATATATTATGTGATAACGTGTGTGGGAATAGGTTTGATTAGTCCCACAAGACCTGTCAGTTACGCCACTGACTTTGAACTTGTTTGTTTACTTAATTTATTCTTATGTAATAATATTACAAAATAAACAAAAATAATACATCACGCTGCCTAAAATCCTGGGACCGTTTGTTGTTATATTTGCATACCAACAATTTGAAGAGTAGCCCCTAATGCGTAATATTATCCCGGATTCAAATTTGAAAATTCAAAAAATCGCACTTTGCAGTTTTCTGAAACTCGACCGACAATGCGCATTCCTCCTTTACCGGCCGTCTCGTTTTCTGTTTATTGTTTGGAGCACCCCGCGTCTGTTCCCTTCTAAATAACCGAATTTAATCAAATTAAAACGCGCCGCGTAAACAATACGATAGTTTTAATTAAAATGCCGTAGACGATAAATACTTTGTGGCGGAACTTTAAAGTCTGGAAGTTATTCGCGTGTTGGAAAAGCCGAAATTTAGTTTTGATAGTTTCTAATGGCTTCCCTTTGCGTCCCCCGCATCTTCTAGACAATGACAGTAGAATTTTTCACGTGATATTTTCCAAATAAATAGTGCATTATGACTTAGATATCGCTTTTTAAATTAATTTTATTAAATTAATTGTAATCGTTTAATGTTATAATGAGCTCGAACGAACAAAGCCACTTCAATGGTGCTCCATCACAGGCTGAAAATAGTGAAGTAAGTATAAAAAAGTTGAGCGATTGTTTTCGCAATTATCTAAACGAAAACTACTTTCCGGTAAAGTTTTCCGAAATTTTCCGCTAACGAACGCCTAGGCCTACAATTTTTCATTTATCACATCCATTGTACTTCACCGCCTTAAACGAGTATTCAAAAATTTACTTTGGTCAAAATTTGCATGCATCTCCCAGACGATGGATTCTAAAAGGCATTTGTTTAGGTCAGCACACAACGACCACCTCCTGCCACATCTGTTCCGACCGATCTTCGCGTAAACACGACGGCGTTAAATGCGGTCGCTTTAAGCAGTGTCGCTAAATACTGGGTGCTTACAAATTTATTACCCGGCCCGATACCGCAGGTGTCCGTCTATGGGCTGCCTACTTCCGGACGTGGTGATAATCAAAACAAAATTACACAGGTTGGTACTCGTAGTTGGATGTGGCGGCCCAGAAAAATTGCCGAGTGTATCGTAACTAATGCGATATAAATAAGTAATCTGTATGCGATGACCCTTGACGCCCATTAAGAAAAGGTCTATGGACTCTTTCGCTTTAATGGGTGCACAATGTAATTCGCACTTAACCTGCATTGCGCTTTTTTAAACGATACCGTTTACAGTCGAGATATTTTATAGGTTACATAATTATACAGGGTGTTCTGATAAAACTTCTTTTTTTTAACAAATGCTAGTTATAGAAAGGTATCAATTCTGCAATTGTTGCCTTGCCGTTGACGTAATAGTTTGATATTTGGATAAGACTTTCCATGAAAAAATAAATTGGGTTTTCCTATACGAATGATTTTAGGTAAGTTAGTAAATCTAGGCATGTTTAGTGCATAATGTAGATGGCGCCACCTGTTTCACTGAATACGGCGTTTCCCCATGTCCCTAGCTAGTGGGAATGTAGGGTAAGATTAGGTTACATGGGAAAAAGTGTTAATATTAATAAAATTGGGGTTCAATTTATTAAAAAAAAAATTGTGGACACCCGATTCTACAACAAAGAGACCTCTCCTGTATAAACTCATGAATGCAAAGTACATATCTTCATATTTGGAGAAAATTACAATGTGGTCTAGTTCCCAGTTACTTTAGGTTTTATTTTACTCTTACTTAAGGCCTTAACTGCGTGGCGTCCTTGTCAACTGAGACTTTCAGTGAGGTAAGTGAGATCATTTGAATCAACTTGGGACCCACAACAGCAGCCGGCAGTCCTTTATTGTGCACTCCCGCAGTGTTGCAGTTTTTTGAATTTTTGAAAAATATTTTTTTGAATCAATATTGATTTTTTAAAATTGTTTAATATAATAGATTTCTTAAATGTCAGTAAGGTTTGGAAATGTTTTGTAAATGTCTAGGAATGGAGATATGGTGTGCACTAACTTAAAGAGATTTAGTGATCAATTTGTGTAATTATTGATTTTTGATTTATTACATGCTACCCCTACCGTTTTGTTTTTTTTCTTTAGTTTTTCGCTTTGCCCACATACAGGGTAGTTTATTTAACCTGCACAGCATTAGGATTGGCAATAAAAAAGTTAAAAGGTTTTAAGATTTAAAGTCTCAAGATAAAAGATTCAAAATTTAACGTAAGGTGCAAGATTGACAATTCAACCGGTTCCCAGTACAAACAATTGAAAATTCAATGCTTTACAGCTCAAGATACAAGTTCAGGGCTAAGAGTCAGAGTTTTAAAGGTCGAAAGTTTCATGATTTGAAGTTACTTACAAGATTTTCGATTTCAAAGTCAAGGTCCACGATCTAACAACCAAGATCCAAAGTTAAGAATCTGGTTTCAAAGTTTGGGGTTTATGGTCCAAGGCTCTATGGTCAGAGTTTGAAATTCTATACTAAAGATTTTGAACCTAGGACCTAAAATCCAATGTCATAGCAATTTCAAGTTCAAGATCCATAGTCCCTCTCTTGTTCTGAGCCCTTAACAATAGAGTGCCCCACAAAATGTTTATTAGGGGTGCCCCTGCAGAAGGTCTTAAGTTCTTCTATACTACTCTGGTATTTGCCTTGGGAATTAGGAAAACCTAATTCGGAGTAGCTGGCAGTATGCTCAAAACTGATCTAAGGAAATTCCTAACGCTGTCAAATGAAAAATTCTTACCTCAGTTCAGGTTCTCTTTCCAACTCTACAATAAAAAAATTCTCAGGGTGTAATATCGGGGCTATAGGGTGGGTGCGGCAACGTTGGAATACCTTTTTGCGCCAAAAATTCTCGCGCAATGGACTGGTGCAAGATCGGTGCTTGCGCGAATTGTGCGCATGTTCCAATTCTGCGTAACATCTTGCACACTGTTCGACTTTCGCGTCAGTACGAGAGGTGAGTACCGTTCACGCCCCTTTTTAAACAGCTTCACCCAATCAAACACGCGAGTTTTTGATTCCATACACAACCGGCAATTTTTGGAAGATCTCCGAGGGTTTTTCGCCAGATTTCACTAAAAATTGAATCACAACACGTTGCTTGTAATGTAAGTCATTCATTTTTACGACGCCACTAAAAAAGTTTTACTTTCAAAAGATACGCATAAAACGCAAACCGAACATGATATCCACTTCAACTTGGCATCAAATCTAAAATGAAGATCACCTCTATACTGCATTCATTATAAGAACGTAGTAGATGGCGCTGTGTTTGAAGATCGACACACACAGGAAAATATAAAACGGCACAAAATTTGAAAAATTTAAATATAAATCAAATGATATCACGCTTGGATCTTTGAAATTGACAGCTAATGACAGTTCGACAGTTTAGTTCGTAACTGAAACTTTTAACAGACAGAATTCGTCCCTCGTTTTATTTTTAGCGTAACACAACGAAGTTGAGGTAAAGCTTATGTGCTCGTGTTTCCGTCCGTCCGTCCGTTCCATCGAGATCTCGGCCCCTGGGCCACCTAGAGACTTCGGGTTTTCGCTAATTGATAGCTGTTATGGTCTATATTTGCCCAATTCGATCAGTTTCATTTAATTCCATATTTTGCGCAGACTGCGCAATGCCAACTTTCATATTTATGGGGATATTTCTTTGAAATTTTAACCACAGACGCTTCTAGTAAAGATAAACATTTCCCGCATAGTAAAAATTATGTGGCCATGCGCAGTGACTGCGCAATGCCAACTTTCTTATTTATGGAGATATTGCTTTGAAATTTTAACCACAGACGCTTCTAGTAAAGGCAAACATTTCGCACATAGTAAAAATTATGTGGGCATACGCAGTGACTGCACAGGCTGCTCATAGCCAACTTTCTTATGTATGGCAATATTTCTTTGAAACTTTATTTTACTTATTTGACTCCTCTCTTTCTCTGGGCGTGGACGTGCTTCAATATGCAGATTCGACATTTTGTGTGCTTTTGGTGACGATGCGTCGTTTCAATACTTTGTGTTACGCGGCAATACCCACGAGTGGGTTTTGGAACATTTTTTAGTGTAATACTGACTCGTGTTTTAACTAATCACAGTGAGGGTTAAACTGTCCCTATGCTTTCTGCCGCTATACCTTCTTAAAATGAATAGAGTATAGACAGATAATGACGAATGGGACAGTGTTGCCAGCTCTTGAGTTATAACTAAATTCCCGGTACATAATTGCCACACCTCGTGTTGTTCTCCTTCAATTGGTATAGGGCTTTTTTATGTGGTTTTTGTGCAGTCCACAGAAGGGCTCCGGCCTTATTTGCTTTCGCCTGGCCAGTTCATGTTGCCTGCAATGTCCGAATATTCTGGCACCCACCAGTAGCGTACGCAGGATTTTTTTTCGGGAGGGACTGAAACTCGAGAATTAAGACCAAAGTATGTAAATTTTCACGTATGTCGTACACATTCGCAAGATCAAGTAAGCGAAGGAAAAGGTAAGGTAGTTTTTCCAGCAACTGCAACATTTTTATTGTCGCTTGGCATTTAAATAATTATACCATGACTGACGACTTACGGGATGTGCCGCTGAGTAGTTGTCGATTGTTTCGGGGGGGGGCTGTAACCCTTTCAGCCCCCCCTTTGCGTACTCCGGTGGCACCCACCATACTGTGTGGCCAGGTGCCAATTTATTTAGATTGCAGATGCACTCCAAGACTAGTTTGCAGTCACAAGTACGGGCTACTAACGCTACTAACTTTTGTGTTATTATGGTTACTAGGTCATCAACCACAAGTAACCATAACAAGGGCGATAGTACCCCCCCCCCCCCTCCTTGGAGGGCACACTTTTCTGGTCATAACTGCTACTGACTCGAATAATTAGAGTTATCCGTTATCTTCCTGCTCCTCAACATGGACCTTATCCAGTCTATTGCTGTGGAGGTGAGGCAGTTTCGATGGCTTCATGCGAGGGGTTATCGAAAGCGCCCTCTATATCGAGAAACGTGGGTAGAGCCAACTCTTTTGACATGAGCGCCTTTTCAAATGTGTATGTTGAACTATGTAGGGCCGTGATTGTCGATTTTCCTTTCTGATAGGCGTGTTGTTGGGGGCGAAGTGGATGTTTTGTTAGAACCTCGCTTCTTGAGAATTGGTCTAAGACTTTTTTATCCCCTTTCACAAGAACGAGGCGAGGCTGATGGGTCTATGCGTCTTGGCAAGTCGATTGAGCGTCCTGACCCTTTTGGTATGAATACCACATTTACCTCCTGCGATGTTCTGGGTATGTAAGCTAAACAGAAGCTGTAGAGTTTACATTTCATTTACAGTATGTGCCCAACAACCTTTTGGAAGAGTGCCGAAAGTACATACCGTCTCCATCAGGCGCCTTAAAGGGTTTGAAGAACATTAGGGCCCATTCTACCCGCTCCTGTGTGACCTCTACCACAGAGCTCCCATGTAGCAGGAAGGAAGTCTTTAAAACTGTAGTTGCCTTGGCGCCAGAGTTTGCTTACTAGATACCGGTTCACCTACTGATCATACAGCCCATCGGCGTTAAGCTGTTCCAGCTTGGACTTAGGTTTTTTTAAAATGGGGTTGATTCCTCTTGGTGATGTAAGATGTGACTCAACATGACCTTCTGATGTATGGTTTCCTGTCATGGCTGATCTGAAATAGATCAGTACCAAGACAGTGCCGTTCTACTTAGTGCAAGTTTTTGACCACGACTCAACAGCCGGACGAGGTAGCTGGTCTGTGATGCGGTATATGGATGCCTGTAACAGCTTTGCTTGTGAGCATCCCATTTCTGCGTTAACTCTGAACCTTCTCTCTCATACGATCATTCACAGGGCCATCCCCCTATCCACCACCTGGAGACGCGCCCGATAGGGAGCCACCCTCCATATACGAGATGGGCACCGGGTGATTTACACTAACTACCTATGCTAGTTTTTTAATATTAATTGTCTGTCACTAATTTCCACTGGGAGACAGTTACAAACCCAAAAAAAAATTTCCCTACCAGGGTCACCCTTTGCATACGTGACCAATTATTATTATTATTAATAATTAACAATGTCAATTTCAAATTTAATTAATCATTGTCACCTATAAGTTTAGGACTAATTTGCATTTTTACAAACAAATCGAACCTGGTGGCAGAACCTTTATCGACGCTGGGGGCGCACTGGCGGTTGCTTATATGGATCATCCTATCTTGCTAGTAGATGGCAAAGGGACTAAGAAGCTTGCTTTGTAGTTACCTAATAAAATCAATATTAAAAAAGACGTTTTTTAACAGGACACTCTGTAGATCCCACTCTGATTCGCTTTGTGAAGTTAACAATAACGTCAGCAATAGACGATATTTCATGTGAAGCACTAAATGACGTAGCAGTGAACTAATTGCTAACTTCACAAGGCGATTCGAATTCACACAATCCAATTTATTGTTTATGCTTAGGAAGCCATGCTGAGTCAACACGGTGGACTTTTGCAAGCCGATCCGCTACTTTTACAGCAGCACGCTCAAATACCGGTCAGCATATCAACGTCGCAGGGCATCACAAATTTGGCGATACCGGCAAACGCGATGCATTTGGAGAGTTCGCAGAGTCACAACCAAACTTTATCCAATCATCACCAGCATTCCGACGGACACGTTATAGTTAGTCCGTCGCAGGCGCAACTGTCTCAGTTACAGAACAGCCAGAATCACGCGCAGCAATCGCAACAGAATATTGTACAGGTACAAGTTCAGGATAATTTGGTGTCGGTTATTGAAGATACAAAGGATCACAAAGATTTAATATCATCACAGTTGGCGCAAGCGCAAATACACCTCAACGAAAATCAGCAGTTGGGCCAGCAAACCCTGACCGTTCAGCAGTTGCAACACCTACAAGTACAGCAAGTCTTAGATAACGTCGTACGTATGGAAAGTGGAGTCGATACCAATCAGAATCAGTCGGAACAAGACCCATTGTCGGTACCCGATACTATGCCAATCATAAAGGATGAAAAGGGTCTGCAAAACTGCACAAAGTTGCTTACCGCCCAATTCGGTTTACAGGATAGCAAGGCGAATCTGATGGACATCCGCACTGTCGACGGACAAATAGTCAAAATTGCTGCCGGTATTCAAGATCAAGATTTAGCGAAGACGTTAGGTGTAGAAATGGTGCAGAACATGTACAAAGTTAACGTGGACGATATTAATCAGTTGCTGGCATATCACGAAGTTTTCGGTAAGTTACAGGGTGAAATCACGACGGGACAGGCGAACGTGACCGCGAACAACGCCAACGTAAACCTACAACAGGCCGGAAACGCGATCGCTAGCAACATTCAGATTGTTACGCCGAAAACTCTGAACGAGAACGTCCTCGAGGCGTCCACGAGTGCGATTGCCGCCGACAGTCCTCCTTCCATCATTCCCGGAAATCACGTGTGCGATTTGTGCGGGAAAATGTTTCAGTTTCGTTATCAATTAATCGTGCACAGACGTTACCATATCGAACGCAAGCCGTTCACGTGCCAGGTGTGCGGTAAGGCGTTTATGAACGCCCAAGAACTGACGAGGCACGGTAAATGCCATTTGGGCGGCAGCATGTTCACTTGTGCTGTATGTTTTCACGTGTTCGCGAACGCGGCGTCTCTGGAGCGACACATGAAAAGACATTCGACTGACAAACCGTACAATTGTAACATTTGCGGTAAATCGTTCGCGCGAAAGGAACATTTGGATAATCACACAAGATGTCATACCGGAGAGACGCCTTATAGATGTCAGTATTGCGCGAAAACGTTTACTAGGAAGGAGCATATGGTGAATCACGTTCGGAAACATACAGGTAAGTTTTTAGGTGACACTAGCAGGTTTTTTATTTAGGAGGTCTGTCATAAAATATCGCTTATAGTATAACGGGTAGGTAGAGTTGACGCTGCGATAGGTTTTTTCGAATATTTGTGTCTAGGACTGCATTCGTATCAGTGTGTGGGCGTGATTGTACTGTCGCCTGGATGTGCCTATGTGATGCGGATTTATTTTATAACAGCACCTAAAATAACGATGGGGCTTTGTTGGTTTTATTTAGAATAATTATTTAGTGTATAATTTTTGATTAAATGTTCGTTTGTATTTTGTTGATTTGACTGCAAAGAAATTACGTGTTTTTTTCATTTGTAAAAGTGATCTGCGGTCGGCGGGATAAGGTTTCATTATCGCTGCGTAGGCTAATTAGTTTCAAGATAAGTACGTGTTATCGCAGATGTTTTTGGCCGTTGTGAACACAGGTGTATTTATTCGAAGACGCAGTGCAAAGTGGAAGGAAAAAGGAATTTGTGTTAAATAGAGGAGACGGGCGTTAATCGTTGCTTTTTGGTGTATTGCATTCAGCGGTAGTTCAGGGCAATTTTCTTGCAAGACGTATAGTCTTGGTGATATTAAAGGTGTTATAGAAGAAAGTCAACGGTGTTGTGTAATGGTAATGCGACGTTCAAAGTCACTGTTTAAGTCGGAAGTGTGTAGTACGCTTACGAAAAAGTTATTCAGAGCGTTTATCCCGTATCCGAAGCTTTTCTCAGTGCCCGTTAAAGGGAGTTTTTCCATCATCAAAGAATCAATTTTACATCTGTAATTCAAACGGACCCAATGTCATCTAAATCGAGATTCAAGTGCAATTAAAGTAAATAAGCACTACTCAATGAATTGACTGAAGCTGACTCTACTGTAAAGCTGCTGAAAATTATTCTACAAGGTAAAAATTTACTTATACAAGAACTGTATAATAAAATTGTGACCTTAGAAAATAAGTTAACGGCTGCTAATCATTTTAAATCGCATAACACAAATATTCCTACAAATTCCGGTAAAAGTCTGCAATCTAATGTGACCAACAAAAATGTTAACGTTGCTATATCGGGTGAAAATCTGGTAAATAACTCTCCTCAATCGAGTTCAGTTGATTTGAGTAATAAACGTAAACCGTCTTCAAAAAAGGCGCCACTTATGAAATCCGATAAACCAGTGGAAGATACCGTGATTAATTCGGATAAAAAAACTGAACAAACTTGGGTCACTGTAGTAAAGTCCAAACCAAAATCGTCCAGTAGGAATCCTCCAATAATTGGAAATTCCAGTACAGGGACATTGAAGGCAGCGGCGAAAAAAACTTCAGTTTTTGTTTCAAGATTAGATGCACAAACTAAGGATTCTGATATCCTCGAATGTTTAAAAGTGGATTTTCCAGAAATAGAATGCGTTAAACTGATATCTAAATTTCCGGAGGCATACTCGTCCTTTAAATTAACAATAGATTCAACGAATCTGGATAAAATTTTAAACCCCGAAATATGGCCTTGTGGTACACTTCTGAAACGGTTTTTTCAGCCAAAAGTGATGAAATCCGCACTGAGTTAAGTGTCGTTAAATGTGCTACAAATAACTTTACTATTATGTGTATAAATGTGCGTAGTGTACACAATAAACTAGATCTTATTTATGAACTGTTGACCAATTGCAATTTGCCCGATATTGTCTGCTTGACTGAAAGTTGGTTACGTACTAATGAAATAATCACTTTCCAATTACCCGGTTATGTGGTAGGCTCTAGCTTTTGCAGAACCAATTCGCGCGGTGGTGGAGTGCTTATCCTTGTTAAGGAACAATTAAGGGATAAAGTTAATGCCCTTCCTGTTACAGCTACTACTGATCTAAATCTGGAAGCAGCCTCGCTTGAAGTATGTCTTGATGGAATTAATCTAAAGGTTATTTGCCTATATAGACCGCCCAGATCTTCATTTGCTACCTTTCTGGAGCAACTAGAAGATTTGCTACATGTTTCTGATACCTGCGTGCACAGGACGGTTAATATAATATGCGGTGATTTTAACTGTAACTTGGCCGATCCTGGAAATGAATCAACGAGCTTAATCAACATCTTCGCATCCTACGGTTTGCATCAGTTGTTTTTTGACTACTCGCGAGTGCAAGGAAAATCCAAAACACTTATAGATAATATATTTTCCAACTTAAAGAAGTGTGATGTGGTAGCTGCAGACACTGTCACAAACTTCATATCTGATCATCATGCTCAGTTGCTTACCTTTACATTACCAAGGTTTTATAGCTCTAAAGACTTGCAGACTAAATGTGATCGTCCCATTACGGAAAAAGGTTTATTTAATTTCCATAACGCCTTGGAACATACAAACTTTAATTACTTATATGATCACACTTTCAGTGACAAATTCTCTAAATTTATAGATCATATTGTCGCAATTTTTATGGAATGTTTTCCTATTAGGATAACTAAAAGTAAACGCTGGGACGGTGGTATCTCATGGTTTACGCCAGAATTAAAACAAATGAGAAGCACGCTCAAACTACTACATGAAATGTACACTTTGGCAGGTTCGATTGGCTTAAAATCGGCCTATACTCGCTACAGAAGTGCTTACCGAGCTGCAGTTCGTATTGCCCGAATACATTCAAATGATAACGTCATTACTAATGCTAGTAACAAATCAAAGATGGTTTGGGATATTATTAATGCAAAAAAAGGCCAATCTAAGGTTATTACTGATCTATACTCTGCTGACCAATGGAATCAATATTTTGTTAATATACCTAACGAGATATTATCCCACAATAATGTTCATATAAATGAACCCCTTTCTATGTTTAATATTATCGTACCAAACAATATCTCTCTAAGTTTTGACTATGTTACCCCTAATGACGTCAGAGACGCGATAACATCATTATCGGCGAGTAGAGCAAAAGATCATCTATGGGATGAACTCGTACCTAATAAAAAGAAATATCAACATGTTTATCAGTCCGCTAACATTGTTGATAAATGGTTGCATACGTTCCGGTACCTTTCCTGACTGCCTAAAGGTGGCACTTGTTTTACCCCTATTCAAAAAAGGCAACGCTGAAGATATGTCAAATTATAGGCCCATTTCACTCCTGCCTATTTTTTCCAAGGTATTTGAACGCATTGTCGAAAAACGTCTACGACACTATTTTGAAACGAACAAGCTCTTCTACACGAATCAGTACGGGTTCCGCAATGGAAAAGCGACAACCGACGCACTGATTACATTTGTCAATAACGCCGTTTTGTGTTTCGAGCAAGGTAAATATGCTGTTTCAGCCTTTTGTGACCTGAGCAAGGCGTTTGACTGTGTTAATCACAATGTCTTGCTACAGAAACTTAAAAAATATGGTTTAAACAATATGGCGATTAAACTTATACAATCCTACCTCTTCAATAGGACGCAAGCAGTAAAAATTGGCAATTCAATATCCAATTTGGCTCATTTAAGACAAGGAGTTCCCCAAGGTTCCGTCCTAGGACCGCTCCTGTTTCTTATATACATTAACGATATGCCGTATTACTCTAGTAGAGCACTTTCTATATTTTTTGCCGACGACACTACATTGAATGTCTCCAGTCATAGTTTAGACGATGCTATTTCCAAGAGTTCACTTGCAATTAACGATGCCGAAATGTGGTTCGCCGCTAATGACTTAACGTTGAATCGTAATAAAACTCAGACCTCTATTTTTGCACTTAGACCGTTTACGACCACTGGTAAATTTAGTCATAATAGCATATTCCTAGGTATGCGTATGGACTGCAAACTACGCTGGAATGAGCATGTGAATTATGTCTCGACTAAGTTAGCAGACAACATCTTTGCGCTACGTAACTTAGCGAACTATGTATCCCCTAATGTGCTAAGGATTGCGTACTTCGCCCTTTGTCAGTCGCATATGGCATACGGCATTGTTATTTGGGGCCATGCTCCTACTGCCAAAAGTGTGTTTTCGCTGCAGAGGAGAGCTATCCGTATTATAGCAAGAATACCTTATAGAGCGAATTGTAAGCCTATGTTTATAGAATTTGGTATAATGACATTTTATTCATTATATGTATATTCGTGTCTATGCTATGCGAAAGCTAACTTACAGTGTTTTAACACTCATAAGGACTTTCATGCTTACAATACCCGGAACAGTGAGAACTTGTATAATGACTTTCTGAGGCTATCCACTTCAAAATATGGACCTAATTATTGGGCTGCAAGGTTTTATAATAAGATACCTAAGCATATACAGAGTCTGAACACAAACTTATTTAAAAAACGCATAAAAGAAACACTGATAAGTAATCCTCTGTATTCTATTGATGAATTTTTCCAAATTAAATTCTTATAACTGTTCATTAAGTTTTCTATTATTGTAATTTGACTTGTGTAAATATCTTGTGATAAACTACACTAATAAAGTATTATTATTATATTATTATCGGTGTTTCTTGTGAGAACTCAGGTCTAGCCTGGTTAACTAATCGCACGGATTAAAATCAAGTAACGATTAGTGTCTGTGTCTGGTGAAGTTATGTAGGGTCATTAAAAAAAAAAAAAAAAATCACACACGTACATTGGACATCTAGGGATAATGTAATTCGTACTTACCAACATACCTATTGATGGGCACAATAGCCAACGCTATCAGGAAAAGAGGAAAACAAAACAAAAAAAATCATTATAATAATTCCTGTAATTTTATTAAATGGAGTTTATTGTGTAAGTGTTTCTTTGGCTTTGCGTTTGGGTTGAATACGAGTGGGTTGTGATAACCTGGTGTGTTGCTGTGAAGAAGGAGTTTTGTGTTTTTTAATTGTATTTATGGTGTTTCTTTGTTCCTGAGGTCGTATTTGTGAGGTTGCTTGGGTTTTTGGTGGAGATATTGCAGTATTTTGTATTATTATTATTATTATTATTATTATAAGTGAAGTCCTAAAAGTAACATCATTTGGTTTTTGTGTGTTTGTGCATCAGTTTTAGAAAGCGCAATTAACCGGATATTTTGGATTATTAACACTTTAATGCACTTAAGATTTCTTTAATTAATTGTTTCAATCGATCACTTGTTGCGTGGTATGTTATCTGGCCCTGAGTGCATGTTTTTCTTTCAGGAAAATTTAAGTCAATGAAATTTCGTCAACAATATAGCTCCTTATGGCAACGACCAAATAAAACCTTTTATATAACACCTTATCTAAATTGAACAGTAAAAAAACGCATTTACAAACTTTTCTAAAAGGAAAAATAAACACTGAGATACAAATTCAAGTAAAATGAACCGATTTGCGTTTATTCGTAAATAACCCACCAGATTTGCACTTGAAATTATACTACATTTTACAGGGTGTCCCGTTATAACTGCACAACTACACAATATACATGCAAATTCCCTTGTAAAATAAAATGAAAAAATAGAAATAATGCGGCCTGTAACACTGTGTTACAATTATTTCCTAAGATGTATACTGCCATTAAAGCAAGCATGAAAGCAATTATTGATTTTATTGGTTATTCCGACAAAAGATGAAAACCTTCACAAATCCGAAAAAAGGGAGCACATCTTGTACAAAAGAATCGTAATGTAATTATTGTTTTTTTGTAGAAGATACTAGTTAGAATCACATATTGTTGTAGAAAAATAAAATACATCCTTAGGCATAGAGTATTCCAGCCAATGGGCAAAAACCGAGGCAAAAACAATTGAAAATTGGCAAAAAGGAGATTTATGGACATTTTGAACGCCATATACGAATGGTTATTTTTCATATTCGCGATTCAGATTAACACTAAAGGCGTTAGTGTAATTTACACATGGCGTTTTGTAAACATTGGGTTATTCTTGCAGGTTTTTAAGTGAAATTGTACCAATTTGAAAGTTAATTTATCCCACCGTTTTTGAGACTTGAACATATAACCCCTTAATCTTATCCTACTTGAACCCGCAATTGACTTAATTTTCTAATTACAAATACAGATCACAATTTATCATTTAACAACATTACATCGATTATGCTTTAAAAAAGCCTTACTATTCTTTCGTGGTACAGTTACACTGACCACAATTTTAAACAATAGATAAAGTGCACTTAACATTCTTCAATGTGAATATGTCGCTTTAAGTTTTGCTTATCGTAAGTAGCGCAATTACACTGTGCACAAATTAAATGTTTCAGAAGGTTGTGTGTGTTAACAGGTGAAGCTTTAAGCGATCGCATAATTGTAGCGTAAGTACACTGATACCAGAAAGGTATTCATAGCGGAGTGTGTCAAAGAATGACGTATATATCTCCTATTTTTTTTAGTAATTGCATTGGTCACAATTAAAGACTTTGGAAATGTTACGCGTTAGACGAAGCTTCTTCATCTTATATTATTGTTGATTGTGGAATAGCCCTCTACACAATTAAGGTTCTGCATACCCCAGTTATGACAAGTAAGTCCGCTTAGATGTCGCTACTTTCTAAAATATAAATACGAATAATTATAGCTCCACCCATTTGTCCCACTCTGAAAGGCAGATATTTTACTGCACAGATATTTCAACGTTACAATTCTCTGCTAATCTTATCTCCTCGTATTCTATTCGAAATAAAGAATATTTCCTTATTTTAGCTTTTAGTTTGGCCGCATTTATATTTTATATGTAAATTCCGAGGTAAATTCTTACATTACTTGAACGAAATTAGTTATTGGATGTGTGTTGCGTAACGCACAAATATTAAAGAAGTGAAAAAAGCATGTGTATTTAGTGGCATTGCTATAAATTAAGAGAAAGTTTGCTATTCATCTGAAAATAAACCAATTTATCGCTATAGAAATTATCGATGAATTGCTCCATTATTAGAATTATAAGGATGCATTAAATAAAACGTTGAATGTTGCTGTATACTTATAATTGTTTTTACGTTTTCTTTAGGTGCCGAAATCGATAACCTAAAGAAAACGTAATAGTTATTTATGTATTAAGGGCATAATAGAGATGTTTATAATCTCGAGGGCGACGACTTAAAAAGCTCGAGGGCCAATGGCCCAAGAGCTTTTTAGTCGCCCGAGAGTATAAACATCAGTTTATGCCCGTGGTACATACACAATTTTATGTTTTACAAATAGTTTTCTTCGTCAAAATTCGTTTACAAAATAATTCATTATGTTTGATCGAGTATGCGTAGTTCGAATTTGTTAATGTGATTGAAATCATCCAACGTAATTTTAAATAATTCAATTCATCGTGAATGGGCAAGAAGTTCCATAAACTATACGAAATAAGGCCAATCTTGTGATTTAGTAGGTATTGACAATTAATACCTAATTGACGTTTTCAATGACCTGCAAATATTTGTTCGTTTTGTCATTAAGTATAAATGAGTTACTATGGTGATACTTAATGCCCTAGGGCATAAAGTGGTACTTTATGCCCGCGTATCACAGATATAAAATGTGCTATGATAGGTTAGTAAGACATAAAAACAATTATAAGTATACAGCAACATTCAACGTTTTATTTAACTTCATAAATAAGTTTGCTATCCGGTTTGTAAATCGTCCTGATGCGAAAAGGGCACTGTGAATGTTGATCGATTGGGCACAATTTTTGGAATTGCGTTTTATATGGCTAAAGTTATACGCATATTGAATTTCATGCAATTCGGATCATAACTCACGGAGATGTCAAGAGGGCCTTCCTTATTTTTTGAGCTACATTGCCAATTCACGAACTCCGATCTACAAATTTGATAAAGAATCCACCTGCAAAATTTCATCGTAATCGGCCCATTCGTTTATGAGTTATCATGCTAACAGACGGACAGACACCGCAAAATTATAAACTCGCTAGGAGCTCGTTACTAAAGCTGTATTTTAACAGTAAAAATTAATGTATTTTTAGCAAAAATTCGCCTCTGAGATTTTTTGACGACTAATGATTTGAACGACCCTTGCCATTAATTACAAAATGTTTAAATGCGTATATGTAAAAGGTTTGATTTTCTAAAAAGAATTTTTTTTAGAGAACCCGGTAGAAAGTGAGGTTATTTTTCATTTTCAGGTGAAACGCCACATCGCTGTGAGATCTGTAAAAAATCTTTTACGCGAAAAGAACATTTCATGAATCACGTCATGTGGCACACGGGCGAAACTCCGCACCACTGCACGATTTGCGGCAAGAAATACACAAGGAAGGAACATTTGGCGAACCACATGAGGTCGCACACGAACGATACGCCGTTCCGTTGCGAGATTTGCGGAAAATCGTTCACGCGCAAAGAGCACTTTACAAATCACATAATGTGGCACACCGGCGAGACCCCGCACAGGTGCGACTTTTGTTCCAAAACGTTTACACGAAAAGAGCATCTTTTGAATCACGTCCGCCAGCACACGGGGGAGTCTCCGCATCGATGCGCGTATTGCGCGAAGTCGTTCACGCGCAAGGAACATCTCATCAACCACGTTCGGCAACACACGGGCGAGACGCCTTTTCGTTGTAACTACTGTCCTAAAGCGTTCACGCGGAAAGATCACTTGGTTAATCACGTGCGGCAGCACACGGGCGAATCTCCTCACAAGTGCACGTATTGCACGAAATCGTTCACCCGAAAAGAGCATTTGACCAATCACGTTCGCCAACACACGGGCGAATCGCCGCACCGTTGTCATTACTGTTCCAAATCGTTTACGAGAAAGGAGCACTTGACGAACCATGTTCGTATTCACACGGGCGAGTCTCCGCATCGCTGCGAATTTTGTCAGAAGACCTTCACGAGGAAGGAGCACTTGACCAATCATTTGCGACAGCACACCGGCGAAACCCCCCACTGTTGCGAAGTCTGTTTTAAGCCGTTCACCAGAAAGGAGCATTTAGTAAATCATATGCGGTCGCACACTGGAGAGCGTCCGTTCTCCTGCACTGAGTGTGGAAAATCATTTCCGCTTAAAGGTATTTATGTGTTGCGCGTTTTTGGATTATTAAGTTTTGCGTTGCAGGCAATTTGCTCTTCCACCAACGTTCGCATAATAAAGGCGCAGACGCCGATAGGCCTTTTAGGTGCGATCTCTGTGATAAAGATTTTATGTGCAAGGGTCATTTGGTTTCGCATCGAAGGTCGCATACAGGAGAACGTCCGCACGCCTGCCCCGACTGTGGTAAAACGTTCGTGGAAAAAGGAAACATGCTACGCCATTTACGGAGGCATACAGTTGAGAACGGGCAGGCGCAGTCCGCAACGAACCAGGTGGTTGTAAATACTATCGTAAGTCAACCACAAACAAGCACACCATCCGTACAATCGTCCGCCACAGCCACCATTCAAATTCCCCAAGTGAGTCAGAGTTTAACGAGCCCAGTTGCAATCGTAAGTACTGGCAATATTGCACATTTGCCAATACATCAGCAGAGTAATCATCGTGTGGTTTCCACGGCCAGTTCTCCGCCCGTGCAAACCACAACCACCATTCAAGTTCCGCAAGTAAGTCAGAGTTTAACGAGTCCGGTTTCGTCGGCAAATATCGTTAGCACCGGTAATATTGTACAACAAACTCACCTGTCGATGCACCAACAGTCTAATCATCCCGTCGTTCCCGCCGTTAGTACCAGTATTTTGGCATCGTATTCATAGAACTTGATCAAAAGTAGTAGTTTCAACGGGTACTTGGATTCCATTTAGCTTTACATAGTATTAAATTAATCAATCTTAAGATTTTTTCAAATGTGTAGGGTCACAAATGCAATGGCGTGGAAAGGACACGAATACCTTTTTAGCAATTTCTATTTAACCTCAAAAATTTCAACTGAATCTAGAAAATTTCTTTTTAAGGTAAATATAGAGAGCTTTCTTCCGTACTGATTGAAAGCGATATTTGTCTATTGGAATTGTCTAATCCCACGATTAGGCACAATAAGAGCAGTTTTCACCAATTTTTTTTTTATTTTCTCTTCTCTTACCTAGTGCACTATGAAGCTGTAGGTGTAGGTGTTCTTAGGTAAGTGTCACAAATATTTGGGTGTCAAAAATAAGTGTCCGTTTTTTTTTGGTATGCGATTTTTTAAAAAACATTGGAGGGTCATGAAAATAAAACTAACATTTGATTTCTGAATATTTCAAAAGCACATCTTAATCGCCGTTTTTGGTATCAGTATGTAAACTTAATTACAAATTAGTACCAGCCGTGGCTGAAACCCCGCCCACTAATAAATAAATAAATAAAATAATAATTAAATAAAATATGCACTGAACTTTGCCCATTTACTTGATTTAAATAAATATTATGGTCGGTGCCTCTTGTGAGAACTCACAACTAATCGCACGGATTATTATTATTTTTATTATTATTACTACTCAGACATGACCAATTTTAGGCAAAGCAAAGTATGTTCGAACGCAGTTACATGATTTTGACAATTAAATCCGCATAACTTTTTGTTTTTTTTCTTCTTCTTCTTTAATTTTGTTTCTTATATCCCCAAAAAAGTGGGGGGTGGTCATTTTTTACTCCAATGCAATACCTCCTTTTACTAACGCGCGGGTGGTAACGAGCTAAAACTGTTATGTTACTTCCATGTTTCTATATCGTGACGATTATTAAAAATTCAAGTAGAATTGTAAATTTTGGACCCTTGGTTTATTTAGGAAAATGTTATTCCGTAGACTGCGCGTTTATTATAAGAGATAGGAAAAAAACCTTAGATAGATCTGGTTAAATGGCATAAATCGCCAGAAAATGTAACGTAAAATATCAAATGAATCGTCACTGCAAAGTTAGTAAAAAAATGCAAATTTGGCAAATTTTTAATGGGACGATGCTCAGTAGTCAGTATATTTTTCGGTAATGGAATTGATTTCAAAAATATATTATAATATGCTGACAATTGCATTATCAATTTTTGAAATATTAGCAGTATATTATCAAACTTACAAAAATAAAAAATAAATAAATGCAAATGTTTAAAAAATGGGTAAAGCAAATTTGAAATCCAAAGAAAATATTAGAAAAATATACACGGCGATCCATTAAAAATTTACCGTATTTCTATATCTTATAATTCATGTGTTACGTGCTGCCTAAATAGTCGTTCTTTAGTGCATCACTAAAGCGATGGAAATATTGGTACAAATTTTTTCTTTCCTTTAGCGTCAACGCATTGTACTCTACACGTTTGAAAATATTTCTCAAAAACCCAAAACGAAAAATGCTGCTTGTTTAAGATTAATTACAATGGAATTGATAAATATTTGCTGGGATCAAATTGTTAATGTGTCATAGTAAAAAATGTAGATAAGAGAAGACATTGCCATTACGAATAGTGTAATTGTTTCTTGACCTTGACGGTCATTTGTACATATACTGACGTAAGTTTAGCGAAAAATTATGTTCTTAATACGCCAATAACACTTTATGAATATTTTTGTTACTAGCGCGCCGTTTCACGGTGGTAACGAACTTTATAATGATAATGGTGATGGGTAGGCAAATGATTTTTATACCTTAAAAATTAGCATGTGGTTGATTACGATGTGATATAAATATTTATAACTTAACAGGGATCTATATATTTATTATTATTTGTGAATAAACGATGTCGGAATTTAATTTTTTATTTTAACGAGATATATTGCAAGTCGAAAATTGCAATGGGATAGTTATAAATTTATTTATTTATACAATGTGGCAATATAGTTTCTTAATTTTTTTTTCCTTGCAATAGTTCGGCCTAAATTTTTTAGGGCCTGTAGAATTATATATCAAAGCTGTGACCAAATTTTTTAAACGACTTTAAAAAATAATCCGCTTTGCTACTGTATATAATATGTATATCAAGATATTGTGGCTAACTGTATTATTAAAATATACTTTAAAATATTGTATAAAATTGTTAGATATTGTAACAATTGTTTGTTGATTGTTACATAAATAATTGAGATAGTTTTAACGGTGTAGTTTATTATTGTTATTTATTATTGCGAAATCTGGTAAATTTTTTTAAATAAACAGTATTTTTAAAGCTATTCTGTATACAAAGTATTTGTAATCATAGATTTTATTAATACTATAATTTTTAGTTTCGTTTTATGGATCGATATATAATTAGATATATGGTTAGTTATAGTTTGAGTTCATTTATTTTGTAATAATGAAACCAAAATGTACCTTTATAATAAATCAGATTACCTAACAGATAATGAAACCCAACCATTTGTTAAAATATTTTCATAAAAATTTATTTATATGGCACAAATGAATTCCTGTATTGAGTAAATAATTGGTTCTTTCATGTGTTGGGGCGTGGGACATAATCGGGAAGGGGATAAAATGCCGAATTTGTGCCTATGAAAAAAGGAACAAATAATAAAATATATTAACGCACAAAACAAGGCGATACCAGGAAAACTTTTTTGGACAAAAAACCTGGCAGAACAAATACACGAAATCAATCGACTACAGCAGGGGTCGGCAACCTATTAAAACAGAAGAGCCAAAAATTACAATTTATAAAATTTCTCAGTTTTTAAAGAGCCACAAAAATTTTTGATTCAATATTACACTATTTGGCTATATACAGGGTCCAGCAACAGTGCGTCGGGTTTTCCTACATAGCTGATACCTGTTTGAAGCAGCCTTTGATATTTTGTATCAAATTAAAGGTCTCGGAAAAAGGAAAACAACAGTGAAGAAAAAATGGGGGGTGCCATTTGAAAAAATGGTGTTACGGATTTAAAAATGTAAAAGTTGAGAGCTTTTTTAAATGGTTACGCATACCATAAAAAAATTCGATCTTTCCTTATTTAATAAAGCAGTGTTCTGTTTTGCAATATCTCACCGTTTTCGAATAATAAATTTTTAAAATTACCCCCGCAAATTCAATTTTTGACATAAAAACTTCAATATCGACTATGGGGAATCGTTGTACTCCAAATTTGACGTAGAATCCGAAAATGTAGAAAAAATAGGGGTCCCTATTTAAAATAACAAAAGTTGATGGCACCTTCCGGTATTTGTGGAAGTGGCGCCATCTTGAAAATATTTTAGTTCAATTCATCATGTGCCATAACCCTTAAAGGACTTATCAGTTTAGTTTCATTTTCAAAGGTTCTCCATATCTTTCTAACTGACGCTCGTCAAGAATGACCCTGTATACATTTTGTATTCATGAGTTTGTTACTATCGACCAGATCGATTAGAGATTTCCCATGTTAAAGGAAATCAAGTGGAATCAGCTTTTCTGTGTGAAGGAGTACGTAAAAATGAGTTTTTATTCCCGCGGGAATTATAAGGTAAATTCAAATAGTTCCCGTTCGATTGAACTATAGCGCGTTCGCGCCTCCAGGTGCAGTATATGGGGTCTTATGGACTAATTGCTTCTCGTACTAGTTTGCGTCATTCTTCGATAATACTATCCTTGTTTCTAACCGCATTGATGTCAAATTGACATATGATTAAATTGTGTATCTGCAGTGATTACTATCGCAACAAAAACAATTTAAACAACCAAGTATTATTAATTAACAATAGAACTATTAAATGGGTCAATGAAGCCAAAAACTTAGGAATATTGATTGACCAGAATTTCAGCTTTCAACCATACATTAATAAGCTTTATAACATTTCATTTTTGAAACTGAAATCACTAAACTATTTAAGACCTATTCTACCTTCCAGCGTTAAGTTAACTTTGATTAAATGCCTATTTATTGTTATATTTATATACAGAGTGGCCCAACGAGAAGTATACAGAGGGCTTTTAGGGTATTAAATATATAAATTTCGAAAAATCCTCGAACACGTCAATTTTGTATTCGAGGGGGACAACTTTTGGAATACAAATCACGAACCCAAGTCTTCACCCCTCTACGTAGGGAGCTTAACCCCTAAAATTTTAAATGGAATCCTATGGCAAATGGCACATTATTTAAAAGCCAATTTAATCGTGATTACTAATCTGCTTTGCGTTTTAAATTCTATTGATTCGTTTCGGAGATATTCGCATTTGAAATGGTTTTTTCCCCTGATTTAAGTCCTTTAGATTACTTCTTGTGGGGATATTTAAAGAATAAAGTTTATGCTACTCCGCCCGGAACATTACAAGGGTTGCGAGCACGTATAACCATAGTGTAAGAATAGAATACACTATGGTATCGAGCGATTACCCCTGAAATCTTGCAACATGTACGGCAGCGTTTTGAAGCAAATCTTTATTATTGCATGGAAGCAGGCGGAAGGCAATTCGAGCATTTATTGAAATAAATGTTGTCTGTTTAAAGTTATTGGTTATTTTTTGCACAATTTAAACCTTTTTTAATACAAGGGGACTTAGATCGCATTTGTTTTGGTTTTTTTAGAAAAAACCATTTCAAATGCGAATATCTCCGAAACGAATCAATAGAATTTAAAAAGCAAAGCAGATTAGTAATCACAATTAAATTGGCTTTCAAATAATGTGCCATTTGCAATAGGATTCCATTTAAAATTTTAGGGGTGAAGACTTGGGTTCGTGATTTGTATTCCAAAAGTTGTCTCCCTCGAATATAAAATTGACGTGTTCGAGGATTTTTCGAAATTTCTAAATTTAATACTCTAAAACCCCTCTGTATACTTCTCGTTGGGCCACTCTGTATAAAGTTGTTTTTTATTGTCTTGTTATAGTATTGTTATCTATCTATATGCCTAATATCAACTCTTTGGTTAAGTTTCTTTGTTTATATTAGTCTGTACTAGTGTTCTTTTAGGAGGGGTGGAAGATCGCCATTTAGGCGAACCCTATCCTTTTATACATCAGCTGATGGTTTATAATAAACTTTATTATTATTATTAATTATTAAAACAAAACATAATCTCCTTGTGCTGTCATTGTCACGTTTGGCAAGCATGTACTGTACCTATGTCCATAAGCACTATACTGCATCTGGAGGTGCGAACGCGCTATAGTAGGTGCAACCCATTATATTACAATATTCGCTCAAGTGTACGGTTAAAAAAAAAGGGCGACCGTATACAGTAGACAAAAAACATGCTTCAGTTAACCGTACATATAAAACAAAGTTTGGAGCACGCTATGCGGCAATAAACAAAAATATCAAAATCTAATTCAAAATGTAGATAATAAATTGCGACGCAAAAATTCCTGTTTCCGGCATCTGCGCAGAACGTTCAAAGTCGACAACTTTTCCCGCCTGTTGCATACAGAGCGTTTTGTATTTGTTTTCTCATACTGGTCTCTTTCAGCTGTAAGGTGTGTTGCCTAACCGTGGAGGTATGTCACCACAGTCTCGGCGAATTTTAATACCCAATGAAACATTGCTACTGCCTTTTTGTTCCAGAAAATTCAATTTTGGACGGTAAAGTATTGATTGTTGCATGTAACTTGTATGTACAGAAATGTTACAAACATTTGTTTGCATAACGCAGATGAAAAAATAACACCAATAAAAAAAAAATGGTTTTTAATAAAATATGTGCAAGACACTATACAGAATTACACAATCTGCTCAACATCAAGCAGTAAGAATAAAATAACAGAAATGAAAATCAACAAATAACTTAAAATTTACAGGAGATATAATTGGAGTAGGTAGCTGTATAGAATACAATATAAACAGAATAAGATAAGCACTTTCAAATGTGTTGAAGTGGTGTTACGAGTATTAGTTCTAGGTGATGTCTCTATTATAATGAAATCCATAAAGCTATGGATGGTCATCAGTCATTTCGAGGAACTGCGCACTTACATCTCTCGTCGAATCCCCTTTACTATTGAATATAAACTTATAGTAACATCCATCGGCACATATAACTGCAAAAGTGCGATCAGAAGTGAACGTTGAAAATAAACTTTTACCTATTATGGAATTATTATCAGCTCCAAAAGCACATACGCACGGTGGACCATTCGGCACCGTAAATTTGCAAAATGACCATTTTGATGCAAAGTATTTCGGTAGGAACGTTGCGTTAGCAAGTGATGATTGCCTATTTAATTTCTGATCGTCCAGTGAGAATATGTGAACAGTACCATGATCAGAGGCCACACACAAGCACGATGACGTATGATTGAAACTAATGCAGTAAATCATCGCCTAAAAACAAATGTACAGGATGTTTCCCTCAAGCAGAAGCAGAAGGTACCTGGTGCGCACCTCTTCGCAATTCAGTCAATTTCTGCCCGGTGGTGGTTTCGAAAACTCGTATCAACGTACCTTTCTCACTGGCAGTACCTAGCCGCGTCCCTTGCAAATTCAACGATATGCAGCTCAGGGACGTCTCGTGCGCCGCTATATCTAAAGGAGATTTTTCGGTATTTGCCAGATCTACGACCTGCACGTGGCCGACCTTTCGACCGGGAAATGCCAGCAAAGAATTGTTACTGTTAGGGCATAGTACGCAGAGGCCTTTCGGATTTGCGCTTGTCTCAAAGACGTGCAGCTGCTGTGGATTTTGCGTGAACGTATACACTTTAATGACACCCTCTGCAAATTTTCATTAAGCTAATGGTACACCTCAAAATTAAATACCTAAAACGACGACTATTCGATCCCGTCGTAATCTAACGGCAAGAACTGGTGCGCTAAAATCTAATGATATTGGTGTGGTTTTCTTCAGGTCGTCCCAGACCATTACTCGGTTCGGTGGGAACAGTGGTTTCGTCCCTCCGCCGACCAACGCCAAATAATTACACCTGAACAACATTTCAACGTAACTAAGCCCGCCGTCGTCAAAATCCTGCCGCTCCTTCTCTTTTAAGGGGTCGCAATTGTACACACGAAAACCTCTGGTCGTCGCGCAGGCGAAACAACCTAATTCAATTTTGAATTAATTAACTACAGGGCGTAATCGTGGGAAACTACCTTGATCTTGATTAAATCCCGCATATAATAAACCATTACCGTATTGATTTGTCGGTCCCAAGTTCATTTTGTTGAGTATCCTTTGAGTAATTATTTATCGCAAATTACATTGCATGAAAAGTACAATTTAACTGCGTTAACGTTTTGGATTTATTCCAAACAGTATCAAATAAAAAAAACAACACTTAACCTAAAAATTTGATGTTTGAAGGATCGTTGAATGTGGATCTGTTATGGCAATGGCAAGTGATAAATTGTGGCTAGATTCCCGTAAGCACTGCACGAGGGCGCTAGAAATTTAGACCGTACATTCTGATGCAAAATTTAAAAACCTTATCACCTATTAGATCGTAGATCCAAGCTATATGCGTCTTGAAAATGACGATTTTGTATAAAACTGGAGACGGAAATCGTGAAATAAAGCAAATACAAGAAGCAAAGTGTAAACTAAAATAACGTAAAGCGTCAACTGTCAAAACGGAATAATTAATAATTATGACGCGGAATGTATCGCGTCGTTTTGCAGACTTTCTATTGGCCAGCCTGAATTATTTCAAAATTAGTTCGCATATTTTCCTGGGCTTTTCCTGAGCATGGTGGCACTGTATGTACCAACAACACCTAAAGCCCGTTTGTAATGATCACTTATTTAGTCAAATTTTTTTTCTTCATTAAAGATAATGCTATCCTAAAAATGTCATAAATGATGAAACTGTCTGTAACATTCCATAATATTGTCAATTTTTTAGTACCTGTAAAATGTTATATTAAATCTGGAGACTAAATATTTATCTTCTGTAAACTAAGGTCTCTATATCTACTGTCAACGTATTATAGTGAGCTTCAAAAATGAATATAAATTTAATTTTAATTTTACAAATTTCCTATAATCTGTCAAAAGTTACTAAAAAATTGAGGGAAAATAGGACAGGTTCTAAACATTACAAAAATAGGACAACTATCAGTTCCTAAAATAACTACCAAAAAATTGATCAAAGTTGATGTATGAAATGTTCAATTTTTTTGTTCCTAAAAAAATTATTTAAAAATTGACTAAATAAGGGATCGTTACGAACGGACTTAAAAGATAAAGTACTACCGGCCCCACGAGCGTTGTATTACGGGATTTGTGTTGTTGGATCTACACCTAAAACGTGACCCTCATAAAATGAATACTTTTGTTTATCTCTCGCGTGAGTAAGGGTAACGGAGGGACCCCAAGGATCTTTTTTTGGAATAATTTCGTAAAAGTTTTATTTTCACGTACGATGCTTTCGCTAATATTTATACATTATTGCTACCGTACATATTCATTTAATTAAAGATTTATTGTAATAAAGCATCTTGTGACTGGGGTGAACGAGATACTCCGCTCGGCTATAATTCCTCATACCTCAAGGGCTGAGCGTTGGAGGAGGGTACTCACAATTAAAGGGCGGTTGGGACGTATGGAAGAAATATTGGTATCCATTGGTTATGGCAAAACTTTAAGCGCGAATATCTGTGTCGGAAGAGAGTGCTCTCAAAGGGCGATGTGAGATGTGAGAACCTCAGTGTCAATATCTAAAAATTGGAGTGGCGTAGGAAGGTACCTGCAAATTTTAACATTTTTCCATTAAGGCCGCTTGACATGGAGCAATACAACGCGCAAGAACTTGCAGAAAGAAATTGCAAGGTCAAATCCTTGCATGCAATAAGAATTGCATGGCATTTGACATGGTGCAATTCTATTTCAATTGCCACATGTCTGCCAACAGAAGAAAAATATGAATTTGTCAACAAAGTTGCTAACCTCAAATAAAAATGAAATTTTGACTGATTGAAGAAACATGAAAATTACAAGAATAAATAAGATTAATAAAAACAAGTAATGAGTGCGTCTCTAAGCATCATAGTTGCCGCCGCTGTGTTTTACTAGGTTGGTGACACAAAACCAACTAGATTTATCCCTAGAATTGCGCGATTCATGCAAGAAAAATAGCACCGGTCCTATAAAAATTGCATGCAAGTCTCTTGCAGCAATTGATCAGCTGGCTTTGAACTGCGCATGCCTTTCGCAATTTTTCTTGCAACTTGCATGCAATTGCAATTTTTATTGCTCCATGTCAAGCGGGCTTTAGGGTTGGCCTCATAAGCCGGATTATCAGGCGCTACGAGGCGTCAGGAGTTACATACTTAGTACATTTTATAACTTGAGAAATGAAGTATGTACATGTACCAGTAGTGACAGATAATCTGATCGCTGTCATTCCTTATCGCCGGTGATTAATCCTTGATCGACTTAATGGTGCCTTGATATCGCTCCAGAAAATTTGCCACAATAGAATAAGAAAAAACATGTAGTTTATTTTGTTTACCAAAAATAAAACTTATTACCTTCTGAATTACGTTTGGAGTTGTAAAATTTGCAATAAATTTCAAAGGAAAGACCAAAATTATCACAGCTGTCACACTAATTCTAATACTAACCAAACATAAAATATTTTAGAGTGACTATAATACCGAAAAAAATGAATCAAAAACTGAGGGCTGAAGAGTGTGTGGGGAAAGCTATTATATTTCTATTCACAGGGGGATAGTTTTTAATAACAATTTTATTTATTTACGTTGGGACCCCTAAAATCAGAAGAAAACTGGAACCGAAACCGAAAATTACTGAAGCTACAGTACCGGAACCCTTAAAAAATAATTCTAAGTATTGCGGAACTGGAACCTATATTTTCGGCCAGCAGTCAAACTGCGGCAGCCAATCCCACACACGAATATGCGCGTCTAATCCCTTCCCACCAGTCGATGTTGGGTATCGTTGTCAACCACAAAGCTTGTATAAACATTGTGAATAAGTATGAAGAATGCCGCACGACACATGAGTATGCATTATTTAAAACTTGGCCACGTGGTTGTGTTGTCATTAAAACATAACCTTAAGTAATTATTTTGTAAATTGTATATTTTCAGCAAGTATTTTAACCGTTTGTGAATAGGTAGTTTTACGTACACAGCTATAAGGGCACCAGTGGCATGCACAATCCGATGAAAGTTAAGAATGTACTAAGCTTTCCCATTCCCAGACATGAATTTTCCCTATGATATAGGTGAAAGGGTCGTTGTGGAATTAAAGAACTCGTGTTTAGTCGAAGGCGATTATTCAACCAGTACGGATACCAGAGTGGAGTTGATAAATGTTGATGACTGGGCATACAGAAACCTCTTTAAGGGACCACTTTCATTCTACTTCTCGGAGATAGCATCTATAAAGGTGTTACATCCCGATTGGTCAGAAAATAACGAGCATAAACAATGTAAACGCACAGATTTGATTAATTTGCCTCTATCGGAATTTGTACGGCTAAGGGATATGAGTCGGGAGTACGTTTACCTGCCAGTAGTCGATCAAAAATATGTAAAAGCCATTGAATACATTCGCGGTTGTGAATGTATAGGTATAGCGGCTTTTGGATTTAACTTGTTCGATATGAAAGCGCTAGCGTTATTAGTGCTAACGTCTTGGGATCGGGTTTTTATTTTTGACTTACTGTCATATCGTCGTGTGCATTTTCCACCTGATTTAAAGGAAATATTGGAATCAGAATTTATAAAAAAAGTGGGACACGGTTTGCTAGAGCCCATAGAATTCTTTTGGCACTACTATAAAGTTGCCATAAAAAATATTTTTGATACGCAGGTAAATTTTTCCACTTAATTTAATTCTGTATGCTAATGTAATGTACAGCTTGCAGATTTAAAGTTGCAAAAGCACGAGAAAGACAGTGCTGTGATGTTACGCTCGTTGCCGAACTGTTTAAATTTGTATTTCAATTTCCCTGCATCCATTTTGAGTAACGTAGAGGTGAGAGCTATTTCATTTAAATGCTAGCTGCTTTAAAATCAGTTCTAGAACATCGAATTGAAACAGTTGCAAGAACGCCCATTGCAAGAATCTACAAAAGTGTACGTCTCTATGCTGGCAGCATATCTGATAGTCCTATATAACAAACAAGAAAAGCTGCTCCTAGCACAATATTACGAGCTTGTTGAGGAACAAACCAAATTGATCAAGGAGTGAAAGATTTGTATTTTAATTGTAATTTACTACGGTTGACTGAGAGGTAAATTGAGATTGTAGACTGAATTTGTATAAATTAAGTAATCATATTTTATAATTGTGTTTTTAATTAATATGCTGAATACAAATATTTTTTAAGAGTAGTGCCTAATTTTTTAAACTTTAAAACTGCCCTGAAAATTACCAGAATGTATGAATGAATGAAATGCAACGGGACACTCTTTCCTGTATGGCCCAGCAAGTATGCTTTGTATAAGTAAAATTGGCAAGAATTATTCAAATACTACTATCTTTGTTCTACTGTTGTATCTACCTTTATTCAAAGAGTAACTATAATAATAAGAGAACAAAAAACATCTCTTTAAATAAGAAAGGTAACATTTGCGCACATTAATCGTCGAGATTTGTCTTGACCCAAAAATGACGCGATTGAAATTCACTGCAGTAAGACCTCTGGTGGCAGCACGTTGTAATTAATACAGGTGGGAGAAAACCGTTATTTTGTTTATTTACAATGTCCAAAAGTAATCAATAACAATTGTAATGTACCAATTCCAGTATTAAAACACCGTGGTCGCTTACTTGTCGAGTACTTTATTTAAAAGGTAAAACGATTGGTAAAACGTGGCTCTTGCTTTACAAGTCTCACATGTTTCCTGGAACATCGCCTAATGGCTGTGTCTCCGGCATTCTATACGGGGATCAATTGTTGTATACACTACAACAATAACCCATACTAAATAACGCAAAATAACTTTGTTTGGCAGGTAACTTGCACCTCGAGTTTGAGGTTTCTGATACATCACAGTGCTGAATATTGTAGCGTTGAGTGAAGGAATCGAAATATAGGCGTAATGCTAGAAATCGGCGCGAACGTAGGATCTGAGATTTACACAGCGCTTATGGAATCTCCACAGAGTTGTATATAAGTAAATAGAGAGACAGTCTTATAGCGAAAAATTGACTCCAATTGAACCTTGCGCAGGCCGTTGGTGAGTGTGCGCAGTAAACGACAACAGAACCGGCTTCAAATTAAATGATCCTTAAAGCAGGTTCGGCTTGAGAATAATATGGTTTTTCATTGCAACAAAAATTGAAAAGAAATTCAATGTGTGGTGAATGATATTTTTAACACTGTCTTGAATAAATAAGAAACATTACAGTCGTTAAGAACTTTTAATACAGTAGACTACAATACAAAGCTGGTAAGGGGCTTACAACATCAGAATCGAGAAAAGATTTTTGAGATTCTGGTATAAAGGAAATCGTATATTTGTCGTGCGATCGAGTTTAAAGATCTATTTATGCACTCAGTGAGTATAAAAATAGCAATGAAAGAATAAAATAAGTTGAAATTTTATTTTGGTGCGGGACAAAATTTCAGGTGTGCAATGCCGAAAACACAGTTTGAATACGGGTAGCCACAAAGTCGACAAACTTCAAATGCCAATAACTCAAATATCTCAAAAATGGAGCATCGGCAGAGGGTATGTACAGTGGCACCACGCTCAGAAGGTTCCTGACAGGGCGTGTCCGAGGACGTTGGAAATTTAGACTGTACATTCTCATGCAAAATTTGACTCTACTAAATATAAATAAGTGGGCCACGCGATATGAGTTGCATTACTTCAAGGGGAAACAGTCAAATTAATAATTTTATTTCTACAAAACGTAAACACATTTAAGATTGTTAGATGTTCATGTTCAACACAATTTACAATTCTGATGCACTTCTGCTGTGTAAATATGGACAGTTATTGAAACAATCACATTGAAATTAATAACACTCACATTGACTAAATTAACACACAACTTTTAACTTTTTTCATTCATTATCGTCACTTGACCACTAATCATCATCGGAACTGCCGGTGTTCACAATAAATTGTACATTGTCAATAAATTCATTTCTCGTAGGAATGATATTTGCTTCTAACCAAGAACGTATCACTTCCTTACGATTATTCATTGTTGGTGGCTTATTTATTTGAACACTAATAAGGTACGTGAGTTTGCTGGTAAATTTGGTATAAGCTGCTTCTCTAACCACTGCATAAAGTTGGTATGATTCATATCATCGTAATAATCCCCCGATTTACTGTGCGACATCCTCTACAAAACCAGAACGACTACCAGCATACTACGATGTACCTCTGACCAGCCCTATTATAAACTTCCGATACTTCATCTGATTGTTAGCAATTACTCACTCCGTACGATGGGTGAATATAGGTTTCGTCCAAGTATATAACGGGTTTCTTGTCACATTCAGGTTGTTCATTTTCTTTTAATCTTCTTAAATAACGAGATGCCATACTCGAGGCCATACTACAATGTCACTTCTTTCCATTACCAACCTACGTTTGTCCCGACACTTCTTGTATCGAAAACCAATTTCAACAATTGCTTGCGAAGAGTTTTCCTTCCACCCATATATTTGATCTTTTCTTGCACTTTTCCAGGAGCATTTTAAAATATCCTTTATTTATGTACAGATCGTCGCCTACTAAACATTGAAATGGCGGTAAAGAGTATAATGTAATGGGCATGCTTAAATGCTTAAATTAATACTCCAAACCGTCTGTTTACAAATGAATCTGAAGCATCTGAAAAGTTATTGCTGTTTTGTTTTGTGATTATGTAACTGAATGCACCCAAAAATCGTGCTGATTCCCTTTCACGCACCCAACGGCTCCGCCATTAAAAGTCGGCCACTGTAGTTGGAGTTATTTTTCCACGCGCAGGTCGTATGTACTGCCTCTCTATTTACTTATATACAACTCTGTGGGAATCTCAAACCCCGACGGTAAGTTTCTAGTCGGCGTTCCAGTACATTAGATAGAGAAAGGAAATGCTTAGTAAGAAATAAAAAGGCACTATAGCTAGGATCTTCTTTATGGAGGTTGCGTCTCGACCTAATTCCTTCACTCACTGTAGTGTTTACGGCTGTAAAAGTCTAATACTCTTGCAAAACATTCTTTTGCAATCAATGTAGGTATAATTACATCTTAAAAAACAAGCATGGTTTAAAAGATCACATTTCATCAGGGTATTTTTAACATGTACAGATGAGACCGACTGTTGATAGGGCGACATGAAATGAAAAGGACTAACACAAGTTTCATGAAAAAGGTAATGGTGCAACGTAGCAGAAATTATGTAATAATATTTTTTCGTAAGTCTTTAATTTACATATTGATACAACGCTGACCTGTACCTGCCCTCGTACAAAAATAAACTTATAATTCCTGATCATATGGGCCATTGAAAATAAAAAAACCCAATTACATTAATTTTTTCTTGTAATAGCGTTCTACAAACCCTAAACCAAACGCAGATAAAACTCCCACGGCAAAAAATAAGGAATAGGGTATGAACTTTAGCGAAAATGGAAAACGGATCTTCATCAGCGTTACTAAAAGCTTACACTTGGATTCTGAATATGGCGGGTATCGGACGGAAGACATTTTTTCTCCGAAGGAACTGAAATTTTTTACTAGTATCGCTTCCTTATGCACAAACGAGTCAAAACCGTATTTTCCACGGTACGACCCCATGCCACTACTTCCAACGCCACCAAACGGCACGTTTGGGACGCCGGCGTGCATCACTGTGTCATTGACGCTCACACCCCCACTGGATGTGTTCTTAAGTACTAGGTCTACGACCTTCTTGTTCTTGGAGAACACATACAAAGCAAGTGGTTTGTCGTTTTGGTTTATGTACTTGATGGCGTCCTTCACATCGTCGACGTACATTATCGGCAGAATGGGCCCAAAAATTTCCTCTTGCATTATGGGATCAGTCGCTCCTTAACACCATCTAAGACGGTAAGTTGTATAAACCTCTCCGCCTCGTCAGTTTTGCCTCCAACGACCACTTTACCACTTTCTAGTAACCTGCACAGCCGTTTAAAGTGTTTGACGTTAATAATCCTTGCGAAATCCTCGGACTTTTGCGGATCTCTTCCGTACCACTTTCGGAGAATACTCTCGGCACTGCTAATAAACTTGCGCCCCACTTCCCTCGTGCACAGCAAGTAATCGGGCGCTATGCAGGTCTGTCCGGAATTAATCCACTTGCCCCACAAAATGCGATGCGCCGCTATTTCAAGATCGGCACTCTCATGCAAAATACAAGGACTCTTTCCTCCCAACTCCAAAGTGGTCGGCGTGATGTGTTCGTTTGCTGCAGCATGGACCAGTTTGCCAATCCTCGACGAGCCCGTAAAGAAGATATAGTCGAACCTTTGCTTAAGTAGCTCTTGTGTGTCTTCGGGACCTCCCCTGAACACTTGGTAGCAGTCATTATCGAGATACTTTGGCACGAGCTCAGCTATTACCTTTTCGGTTTCCGGTGCCAGTTCCGAAGGTTTGAGGACAACACAATTACCGGCGGCGATCGCATCAACCAGCGGACCTAAAGTGACCTGTAAAGGATAATTCCACGCGCCTATAACAAGCACCACCCCATACGGATCGTTGTAAATTAGCACCTCGTCCGACATATTCATGAAATACTTAGGCGGTCGTTCCGGACCAATCCACTTCCGCAATTCCGCGAGAGTGTTGCGAATGTTACTGGTGTTAAATGCTATTTCCATTGCGATGGACTCTTGCTTGTGTTTGGCCAAGTCTGCTTTAAGGACTTCTGCTAGTCGAGGTGCGTTTTCTTCGTAGAGACGTAAAAGGTTTTTGAGTTGTTGTTCGCGAAATTCCACTGGTTTTGTACGTCCCGTGTTGAATGCACCTCTTGCTCTTGTTACAACTTCTTCAGCGGATAGAGACATCTTTACTCCTAAAAAATGAAAGATTAATGTTTGTGGTTCTCACGCAGTCACCAAATGCGATTTGAAAGCTTACGCCCTTTCATTTGACAGTAATTTTGAACAACAATTGTGTACATTTTTTGTCTCGAAAATGTAACCACTTAATTAATAGATTCTTTGATTACTCTTGGTAGAACACCCGATTCTTTCCCACATTGATATAGTCAATAATTTACCAGAACCCCCAATAAAGCTGTCAAATGTAATGCGGACTTGGGGAACTGAAACCATCCGTATTTACGACGGCGTGCCGATATTAATTGACATTTTGACTACGAATTCCTAGAGTGATTTTGGCCAGTGTTTCGTTCA